AACGATTTTGCATACTACTTCTACCACCTGCATACACTATGGAGATTCAAGCGCAAATTCCAGCTGTGCTGTGCACCATACACAATAACATTTGTATACATGATCCTAGCAAGGGTCATCCACTGTCATATCCACATATCCAGATCTCAGATCCGACCCTTATCTCAGATCCACATCTTATCTCTGATGCTATCCACATCTTATCCCCCTCCAACATCTCGTCATTCAATCTGTCCACTCAGTCCGGTCCAGTCCACAACTCATCCAAATCCACAACCAGTGCTCATCTCTTTTCAGTAACCCCCTAACTCTAGTATTTCAGTTATCTGTATATCTGTCCTGCTCCCTTATCCACTACCTATGTTTCATTTCATGTTCATGATTTGTGATCCATTTCTACTTACCAATAGACTATCCACATGCTTTATACATAGCCTCGGACTCTGCTGATTGATCATTCTGTTAGATTACCTATAGTATATAACCTCCTGTAACTTTCTGTAGTACCTCAGTTCGAATATCATCTTAGTTCTGCTCATTCCTGTCCTCCAGACCTGAGTACCTCTACTCTTGTCACCCTCCGAGACTTAGGATTGATTCCTATAGTCTATCCGTATCTGCCTCTGTCCCTGACAGTCCACTACCATTAGTTTCTAGTCTGGACTCGTCCAGATTAGCCATACGATACTTATCCCTCATCCAGAAGTCATCTGGATCCATTATGCTACTCGTCCGACCTTCCGGACATGCTAGTCTTGCCTTCCTGAAATAAGGGGCAATACTCGGGTAAGGGGCACAGCACACAAGCTGAGGCTAAAGCCCTTCAGATCCAGTTACCCTTTGAGTATGACCTTAACATCCACCCACTGATAATGAAGATGATGAAGACAGATTTTTGGAGGATGGTCTTGGCGCTGATGTGGCTGCAGAAGATGATGCTGCAGCTATTGAGGAGGATAATGAGAATGAATTCTGTCAAGGAGCTGCAATGCATGATCACATTGCAGCAGCAATGTGGACTCAGTATCAGTGTGTTGTACTGGAACGGGGTTTAGAAGGGCTTGATATCATGGACAGTGATGAAGACAAGGATGTGATGGACAGTGATGACAGCAAGGATGCTGCAAGTGATGTGTAGTTTTACTTAGTACTTAGTCTGCTCCATATCAACGAAGAAAGCACTTTGTTATTGGCCACAGGTAGTAGTACAAAGTATAGAGAAGTAGCAAGCGACACAACATGATTGAAAACAAACAACATAGATGACTCAGCCCATTATTTCAGCATCAGCATGCGCTGGACCAGCATCACCTGCATCAACTTCCTCACCAATCAGCTTCACCACAAATGCACGCCTCATATGCTTCTCCTGCATATTCACATAGAACTTCAGATAATGTTCATTGCCCTTTGAGCCAATTATAGTGATCAATGCAGCCTGCTGGCCCAGTGGTAGGTCAGAGTCTTCGCCTTCCAAGATTTTGACAGCTTGCATCACCAAGTCCTCACTACCTTGCACACCATCAGGCCCTCCTCTAACAAACCATTTGAAGATGTCGGTGAGCCAGTTGATGGTTCCTTGCATCCCCACCACAGCAGCTGCCAGCATGATCTTCACAGCCTTGGCAGGCACTGCTAATCTTTGTGACACAGCTGTTCTGGGACACCACTGGTGTCCTGTGGTTTCTTGGATGGGGGGGATGACACCAATGTGGTAGAAGGAGGTTGCATGGACAACATGTGCATGGAGCCGAATGATGTTGTCTCAATGTCCCCCATCACATCTGAATACAGGCGCTTGCTAGCATTAGAGCCAGCAGCAGGTAGACATAGCAGTGGAACACGCTGCAGTGGAGCTAGTGATGGAAGTAGTGATGACAGCAGCACTTGATGGGCCAGCAGCAGTGGCAGTTGGAACAGCAGCCTGTGGGGCAGCATCCGTGAGGTCAGTGTCAAGATTGGTGATGGAGGGAATAGGCACTACCTGGACAGAAAGCATCCTGTCCTCTAGTGCTTGCCCAATGGTATAATGGCCTGCATTTTTTCATAGTACTTCCATCCGTTGTTGCAGAATGAACGCATGGGTTGGTTTACCTAACAGGATGTAAGCTCTCAAATCAATATAAAAATGCGGGTAAATACCTTGACAGCAAGATATGATTTCCACACAGCATCAGCCGCAGATCCTTTGATCCCAGCTCCAGTCTCATTGTCCCAGTGGACCCCTGTCTGGTTGCGGTACTTCTCAATAGAATTGAAGGTGGCTTTGAGCTAGAGGACTCATTAGCTTAGATCAGAGCAGATCAAATCTGATGTACTAATGTCCACTTGCTTCAAACTGCTTTTGCTGTCTTCAGTGCACCTGACTGCTTGGCTTGAAGTGGCTCATGGGTGTTGATGAACACTGCAGCATTCTCAAGAACCTGTTGCTTGAAGTTGCCTCCCCCTTCAGCCTGTGAGCGATGCTCATATAGATAGTCGATAAGGGTAGCAATGTCGTCCTCATTCCAATGGACAGAGGGGGCCTTGGGCTGACAGGGAGCATTGACTTCAGGTTGGGCCATGAGAAGAGTAGTGTACTAGGCACAGATCGCAGTGATCGCGACAGCACCAGCAAAAAGCCTCTTGTGCTGCTCTAGGGTAAGATGAGGGTAGATATCCATTGATAATATGTACAGTAGGAGAGAGACAAAGTTCAAGCTCCGACATCTTAGGACGATGCCTAATGAACTTCGTGTAAACATCAACAAAGTAAATATTGGCCAACATTGAGTTTCCGAACTAGCTCTAATTAAGCTCAAATTAGAGCCTACGAGTGAACAGGCTAACTTCTACTAGCACCTTATATGAGGGTCATACTTGGTAGGCGCGCGTGTTTGGGAAGACATTATTCGATACGCTCCCGTACTCGCGCACAAGTTACACGACACATCGTCCTATGCATATGTGTTAACGTTGAACATTGATCTATAGGTGTTGTCAATGTATGTGTGGTAATTCATTGCTTCTGGATCCGACATCGCATGCGTCACATTGACATGCCAACAATAGGCGTGGGGTTAGGGTTAGTGACTTGATTCCGATCGTCCACCATGGCACCCTTCCTTGAAACAGTCAAGGTAAGCTCAAGGCGTACGTTTGTGATGATTCGCTTGATGAAAGCGTTTCATAGTCGTTTAAAGATGTGCCCATCAATGACGATGGTGTCAATACTGTCGCATTCCTCGAAGCTGGCGATGGTGTCGTCCGCATGCTTAGTGTGTATCGCCACGTCATTGCCTGCGTCGTTTGATTGATCGTATACAGAGGAACTCACTGGCCTTATGAGCACCGTTGGCTCGAAGGCGTTTTCGCCCGTCATCAACGACATCCAGGGTAACATCACGGTAAGTTTCTCCAGGCAAACGATCGTCGATCAAACTGCTCATCCCATCCAACTCTTCTACCAGAAAGTTCGTGAACGGTCAAATGCGGCTCCCTCACAGTCTGCGACTCTGGAGCTGCTAGTGACCAATGAAAATAACAACAAAGTGGGAAGCGCAACAGAGGGCCTCATGTGGCTGCTTCGCTCCCTGGCATTCACGGGCAAATCCCTTCAGCATGCACAGAACAACCCATCAGAAGATCTCAAAGTCGCCTTCACGAAGGGATATGATGTTACTCTCGGGCCTATCCATCGTGGCGCTGGATTCTTCAGCGTACAAGGAGCTATCATGAAAGCGGCAGGCTTGATGTTCAACGTTCGTCAAACATTGCTCTCGCGATTCATGGTTTTATTCTAACGTGATGCGTTGGTGTAGACTGCTATTGGATATTGCCCACCTCGTAAGAACTTCTACGAGAAGCTTGCAGCCAATCCGAATGGAGAGCCATGCTCGCAGGAGCTGCTTGACAAGCAGCTCAACGATTGGATCACTGGTCTTGATACCATCATCACGAGGATGGACAAGTTCTACACAAAGGGGAAGCATGGAGAGATATACAAGTCTGCATGAAGTTATAGATCATCACATCGGCAATAACCAGCGCATTGTGCATTGTACGGATAAATCATCAGCGGTGTACGTCATTGGACTCTTTTTGCAAATATACGGACTTGGAGATTTGCGTACTATTAATCCTCGAGATCACTGTCAGGAAATGTACCGTGCTTCGTTCACTTAGTGTCCTGCCGTCTCCCGAAACAAGTAACCCATGTAGATCAGAAATGCTTGTTAGCTCGGTGGATCGAGGATCAGTCCTATGAGGTACGTCCAAATCCATCATAAACCACAAAACCGACATGCTCAAAGCAACAAGCACGGCCTAACTGACAGTGATCACTTTCGTTCGTACCGCAGACCGCAGAGCAAACACGCGAAAACTATATCGTTCCCAGGAATGTGCCTCTGGGCAGTGGACTTCACGAGTTTGAGCCTGTCGATCGAAAAAACGATTGCTCTTGAATAGTACGACCGAACAGCCGCTCTTGTATAATACGCCTGCTGCGATTATTTGCTTCGCACTTGACTCTGCTAGGGCTGTTGATGGAAGCAGAGTAGAAGGTGTGTTTGCTCGATCAGTTTATTCTGATCGGTGTGCGGGATGCTGAGTAAGAGTGATCTAGAGAGAGAAGTGAGCTTGGAAGAGGTGAATATGTAGATTTGAAGCATATATGCGTGCTAATTGATCCAGGCAGTTAGCTGATTTGACAATGCGGTGCCGTCTTGTGCAATGTACATCGTGGCAAGGAGGATCGGTATTACATCGAGTGTTCAGCAAAGGCCGGGGATGGCATAACTTGACATATTTCCAGTGCAGCGAGTCGATCTCTCTTCCGCGGGCTCCTCATCGCTGTGGAATGGGTACGTGGCAACTACGCAATATTGTGCAAGATGATGGAACGGTTGTCCTTGTAGCTGCGATGTTCGAATAATCAAGAGCACTTCGTTGCTACGGTGGGGCGTAAATGACATGCCAGAAGTATCAATGTTTGATCTATGCACAAGGATATTTGTTACACTATTTGTAACTGAGTTGCGGGCTGGAAGACAAACCAAAACTCGGGGTATACATACGAAACTCTAATGTGCAGTCCTTGTCATCCCCATCCCAACCCCTTCCTCATTCCTGGTCCAATTCCCTTCCCCGGGCCTAGTCCGATCTCCTTCCCCGTATTGTCCTTCATCGCTCTAACACCCCAAAACGCAAACCGACATGTCGACCCATTCCCATGACCTGCTTTTCTGTACATCTGGTCGTAGCTGACGCTGAAGGAGAAGTAGCCTTCAAAAAGTTCCTTTTTCACAGCTTTGTTCGTCTTTCTGTCTGTGTTCGCTTTCGTCGAGGAATCTACCGCCACGCCGACACAATCAACTGTTGTTCCATCACCAGCATTCTCACACTCTCCTGCCTCTACCTCAGCCTCGCCCTCCCCAACCCACACGCGCTTCATCTTCCAAATCCCTTTTGCGTTCTTGACTCCACATTGAGGAGAGAGCCCTGCTTGTCCAATGATACCCGGCGACACAGGACTATGATCAGGAGCAAGGAAAGAGGCGAGTTCGCTCGAGGTGAAAGTGAGTTCTGCGCGATGTTTCAAATTGCTTATTAGCACATCAAAAGGGCGCTCCATCATTGGATCGAACACAGAAGCGCTTTCTGCTCTACCTGCGTCAGAGCTGAGGGAGAGGAAGCAGCGAGCGGTATAGTCGTGCTTGGATTGGTAAGCGAGGATTGTGTCGTAGACTGCGGCATAGTCGGGGGATGTGCTGCCTGGCGGAAGGTAGGCTTTGACAAGGAAGGGGAGGTACATGCCATAGAGGTCGAAATTACCTGAGAATATGGCGGGTGGATGGGTGTCCAATGCATGAAGGGATTTGGGGAGGGGTGGGGGGAGAATAGCTATCAGTGGCTTGTGCAGGACGAGTCAGCGAGTTGCTTCTTGGGAGCATGGAAGGCCGGCGGGCAGACATACCTTTTCCGGGGGCGGCGTTGGTGTCCGCACTGGCCGGACACGGGCGGTTTGACTGTTGGAGGTGGTTGGAGGTGGGGCTGATGGTCTCGAGCGTTTTTCAGGGCGCGATTTTGTAGGAACAGCGGAACCTGAAATCGCACGGGCGTTCATGAACGGAGTCCCGCGTGATGCTGAAGGTTGTCGATATGACTTTGTGAGACCGCCAGAGGAGGATGGCTGCAGGAACTCGGACGGAGAAGAGGGTTCGCTGCGTGAATGCGAAAATGATTTATGCTGCACCACTGGTACACGTAGCATGTTGGCGGTGCCGACAGATAATGGAATCATGGGTGTATGTGATATAGTGTGTGCATACGTTTCGGAGTGACTGGACGCGTCGTTGTGTCACGTGGTCAAGAAATCAACTTTGTGCCACGCTTCCAGGCATGTCCAGGCTCAGTCATGTGGTATCTGCCAGTTATCTGAAATGCGTACGCATGGACCTGTGAATTTGTCAATGCTGATATTGATATTCTCCAAAAAGCGATTAATATTGACCACATGAATGTGCTGTCCTCAACACGTGAGTTACTACTGTGATTGTCTCCTCGCACTTATCAAACCCTCAAGTGAAAACGGTCCGGATCACCTGCCCCACAGTATAAACTTCTTGGGAATACCAATCCCCACCATATTGCCATCGGCGGTCATCGTATCACCCATCTTTCGCGGTCTTTGTTTCCAGCATCATGGTGTCTTGAATTCCGTCGACCCACTCAGAAGCACTCCCATACCGGAATATTGCATATCCTATCATGATACAGAACTATTATCCAACTATCGATGCACCCCCCAAATTGCAATATCAACACTACATCCGACTTAGCAATTTTCACCGCTGCTTCAGACTTGCTCCACGAAAGCCATAAAACGCACGGCGAATTCTCGGTATCGGAGAAACCTCGGATATGTCACGTGTGGACTACACATTACTGGTGAACAGTATATATGAGTGCGGGGAGGCAGACAAGTCCTCCTCATTTCTACCTCTCATCCTGACCACACTCACAAACCTGTGAGAAGCTAGACTATCTGCGCGTCGTTCCAATCTAGATCTTACCTGGACTCGCAACCTATCATGCCGTGGTCAGATTTTGCAAATGCAGACGTGGATGATATCGTCGAGAAGCTCACTACGGATGAGGCTATCCTACTCACTGCTGGTGTTGGATTCTGGCACACACACGAGATTGCCCGCCTTGGGATACCCGCTGTAAAAGTCAGCGATGGCCCTAATGGTATGTCATTCACTGCGCGCTTGAAACGCGATAATATGTATGTATGCAGGTATCAGAGGTAACCACTTCTTCATGAGTACACCGGCGAAGTGCCTGCCTTCTGCCACCGCGCTTGGAGCTACTTGGGACACAGAATTGATCGAAGAAGTCGGGTTAAAGTTGCTCGCAGGCGAGGCCAAGCTTAGAGCCGCGCCTGTCATTCTTGCCCCGACATGTAACATCCAACGTGTATGTCTGCTCTTACTATCCTTTCATGTGCACCCGTTCATGACTAGCGAACCGACTGCAGAACCCTCTAGGCGGCCGTGTAAGTCCAATATCCAGAATGACAGCTCGAATCCCATCTAATTTTGCGCTCTATTGTTCAGGCCTTCGAGAGTTTCTCAGAGGACCCGCTCCTATCTGGTCTCATTGCGGCCGCGTACGTTAAAGGCGTTCAAAAAGGCGGCATTGGAACTTCAATCAAGCATTTCGTGTATGTCCATCACCATCATCCGAGTCCGATCTTGCATAAAACCTGCCCATGCTAATTCGTCACTAATACAGGTGCAATGACAAAGAAGACGATCGCATGGCATACGACTCGATCCTCAGCGAACGCGCGCTTCGCGAGATCTATCTCATGCCGTTTATGCTCGCCCAGAAATATGCTCAGCCGTGGTGTTTCATGACTTCGTACGTTCACATTTCAATTTAAATACGATATTTCTCCTGGAGTACAGGAGGGGGACTTCGACACGTTTTGGCTCATACTGATCTTCATAATTTAGGTACAACCGTGTCAATGGCACCCACGCCTCTGAGAATAAGCATCTCTTGCAAGACATCCTGCGCGGCGAGTGGGGCTTTGAGGGGCTCGTCATGTCCGATTGGTACGTCCCTCATTTACACGTATGGCCGAATAGTAACTCATGTTGCATACGGTGAATTAGGTTTGGTATCTACAGCATAGACTTGAGTATCAATGCTGGCCTCGACCTCGAGATGCCAGGTACCAACAAGTGGCGTATCCTTGATCTCATGAACAGGTCTATTGGCTCAAGGAAATTGACTGTGAGGACTATAAAGGAGCGTGCGCGCAAAGTTGTCGAGCTTGCCAAGCGCGTCGCTCAAGAAGCACCGGAAGTGCGTACATTCTGTTCCATCGATGCTCTTTATTGATGGTGGACACTCGTAGATCCTCGATGGAGATGGCCTCGAACGTACCGTCGAAAGCGCTGAAGATACAGCTCTCATGCGCAAAGTCGCAGGAGAATCCATCGTGTTGCTCAAGAACACTAACTCTCTCCTCCCTCTGAACCCAAACAAGATCAAAAAGATTGCTATTGTCGGTGGGAACGCAAAAGCTGTCGTGCTTTCTGGAGGAGGATCGGCTGCACTCAAGCCATCGTACTTTGTGTCCCCGTATGACGGTATTACCGCTGCACTTCCTAAAGGCGTGGAGGTGCTCTACAGCGAGGGCGCTAGCAGTACGTGGTTTTATCATTTACATGAGAAGAGCTGTATTTTAATGTTCATTCCGTTAGCTTACATGGAGATGCCCACACTCGACTACGAGCTCTTCACGCCCTCGGGCGAGCGGGGCTGGACTGGTACCTGGTACGCGCATCAAGACGACGAGAGCATGTCTGCAATCGACGCGCCCTACTCGACGCGTCTGGTTGACGAGACAAGGATATTCATCAGTACATCAGCGCCCAAGGGCATCACGAGACGTTGGACGATGAAACTCGAGGGTGAGCTGAAGCCCCGCGAACGCGATTGTTTATTCGAGTTCGGCTTGACTGTTGCCGGAAGGGCTAAGGTGCGCTACCATATCCACGTTACTATCCTTTCGCTGAATATTGACATTTGTAGCTTTTCGTCGATGATAAACTTGTCATTGACAACTGGACGCGCCAACGCCGTGGCCAATCCTTCTTCGGCAGCGGCTCCATGGAAGAAAAGGGCCGCGTGCCACTCAAAGCCGGCGTCAAACATCGGATCCTTGTCGAGTTCTGTAACGTTCGCGCACCAGCAGACGGTGATGAAGACGAGACGGTGATGGACAGCAACCCCGGTGTTCGTCTTGGCGGTGCAGAGGTGATCGACGAGGATGTGAAGATGGCCGAGGCTGTGGAGATCGCAAAGAAGGCTGATGTGGTTCTTGCTGTTGTCGGCCTGAATGCGGATTGGGAGACGGAAGGGTATGATCGGAAGACCCTGGCACTGCCTGGACGTACGGATGAGCTGATTAAGAAGGTGCTAGCTGTGAACCCTAACACTGTTGTTGTGACGCAATCCGTGAGTGCAATCGACATGTGGTTTTTGGCTCTAATTGACTTGGCCTCGTGTTTACGCTAGGGTTCATCCATAACGCTTCCGTGGGCGGACTCAGTTCCTGCTATCCTTCATTCGTGGTACTTGGGTAACGCGACGGGCGACGCGATTGCGGACGTTCTATTCGGAAAGAAAAACCCGTCGGGCAAGTTGTCCTTGACGTTCCCCAAGAAATTGGAAGATATTTCTGCCCACGGACACTTCCACTCTGAGAATGGTGTTGTTCGTTACGGCGAGGATTTGTTTGTTGTGAGTCCGGCTCATTCATAAATGTTATCTTGCGCTCAAGTCCTTTGGTAGGGTTACAAACACTTCCAGCATAGAGGCATCAAACCACAGTTCTCGTTCGGGTGAGCAGCTCAGTCTCAAGTAGACAGAAGACAGGGGATTAATTGATTTCGCATCGACAGTCACGGTCTCTCCTACACGACCTTCTCTTACTCGGACTTGAAACTCTCCGAGGCAGCTGTCTCGAACGGTGAATTCAGCCTGAATGCCACAGTCACTGTCACAAACACTGGCAAGCTCGCGGGCTCCGAAGTCGTGCAGTTGTACGTTTCAATGCCCGCTACGTCTGATGTGACGCACCCGCCATTGCTCCTTCGCGCCTTCCGCAAAGCCAAAAACCTCCAACCGGGGCAGAGCGAGAAGGTGACATTGACACTGGACAAGTATGCTGTGTCTTTCTGGGAGGAGAGGATCGAGAGGTGGGTGGTCGAGAAGGGCGTGTATGGTGTCAAGGTGGGCAGCAGCTCTGATGAACTGCCACTGGTTGGCAGCTTTGTACTCAAGAAAGGGTTCGAGTGGAACGGCCTGTAAGCTTGTAGCAATACAGATGTATTTTTGTAAAATCACCGCCAACGCAGTATGTTTGTTTGCATGCCACTGATGCCAGGGATGTTCATGCGAAGCAGGAAAAGTGTCCCAAGAGCAAACTGTGATTCCAACACCAAGCTAGCAGACTTCGAGGACTTTCAATTTAGCTTCCACCAATATTAATGTACATCCTCTGCAATTGTGCTTGTAGCCGTAGTGGATCTCGCTCGCAGCTTGGTTTGAAAGAACATTAATATTGGGAATATTGATTATTGATGTCACCAACGTCACTAATAAACAGGCCATTTTATGTAAAGATTTACATACCGAAGTGCTGCAGAGCAGAGAACGTCGAAAATGATTTAGTTATCAACGTGTCCTTCGTCAATGACGACCAGACTCCACCCAGTCCTCGACCATCATATTTACATCAGCCACCTCCTGCTGTCGGCTCAGTCGCAAGACTGCACTTTCGGTCAGTGCTCGCTTCCGTTTACCAGCAGAGAAAAGAGTCTCGAAGCGCAGCTCTTTTCTCTGCTTGGTTGCCCAAGTCTTGGCTGCATGCTTCGCACCCTCAAAAAGTGCCCATGTTTTGCACAAGAGTTGTAGCTGGGACAAGAGCTCGTTTCTTTTATCAGTGCTCTCCTCAGATTGATAGTAGACACGTGCAATTTCTGTGAGATCTTGACCTACACACTTGGGACCTGCATTTATGACGACATAAGGTGGTGCTATATGACATTCAAGGTCGGGGAGAGTATGAAAAGGGGGACTGTATAGTTGATATGGCCCACCACCCACGCGGATGATTGGGTGTCGATCGTCGCTACCGGAAATAGGGATGATCTTGTATCTAGTTTTGGTGTTGAGTTTCCACTGCGCGAGTGTTTGCATGAGAATTTTAAGACCTTTTTAACATAAATGTACCTGAAACGAGAAATTCTCGATGTTATCTAACATATTGTTTGTCCTCCAGGTAATTGCTGACGCTACATAACGATGAACTTGCTCTAGAGTCCCGGGGTCCGGCAGTAAGATCCAATGATTTTCACCGAAGGCAAGGTGCCAGTCTGACCGGACTGCAGGCTCAAAAGATTTCTTTGGCTATCAGTGTGAAAAGTCAAAAAATCTAAGCCAAGGAAATATTCATAGACGCTGACTAGGACAAAGTTGAGTTCGTTGCGAATGAATGCGTCTGAATCGTCGCTCACCTGATCTTGCGTACTCGCCCGTTAGACTATATTGGCTATATCCATATTATGGTCAGAATGCGTTAAGATGCACTGCGGAAGTGCCCATCATAATTTTCCATGTGAAATCTATTAAATGCCTCTCGAATGTCTGGTGGAAGGTTTGCCGTTGGACCTGAGCCCAAGGGAGGTGGACACAGTGACATACTGTCGGACGTCGTGACTAGATATACTTGTCATAGTGTACTCTGGCAAAACTGCCACCGATAATAAAACTGATCTTGTGAAGGCCTGTACCAAACAGTCTCCCACGACTGCGTGAGCAAGTTCTCATCCATCACCGCATTTGTAAACAATACTTTTGTTCTCCTGTTGCGAGTGATAGGCAGCATTCATTGCACACGCAGTATTGTGCAGACATGGACAATTTTGACAAGGTAGAATGAACAAAGAACTCACGAGAGACACCAAAAAAAACATGGAACTTCTCAAGTTCGACGTTGGTTACCTTCTCGTCCCGCCCTCGTGACAAATGTTTTCCTCCTTTATCGGCAGCAATACCCAACACATGTGGCAGCAAGTCATATTCCACCGCCATCTCAGGTGGACCATGATGATCAGTAATTTCTCGATCAATCTCCGCAGTCTCGTCGACTTTTCAAGTGGCTTTCTACCAGACAGTGGGGTCTCTGCGTTGTGAGGATTACTGTTGAAGTTCTCGTTCTCATTTGGCTTTGAAGGGATGCGGCCGACTTCCGACCGTGTACAGGGCGATAATGAGTGTGGAGGAAAGAGATGAACGAATCACCTAAAGGTCGTGACCAGGCAACAATGTGCAAGTGATCTTTCTTGGGCATGATGGGGAATGCTTCGAATAATGATGACATACTAGGACATAAAATCAGTACTCATCATATTATCCTCCAGGCTGTCGTCGATAGGTTTCAAAGAGGAATATCCTTGGTACATCATAGAACACACATCCCTTCTTGATTTTGATCGCATGTCTCAGCCCATCGACAGTGTTCACGCATGAAATCCTGACAGTGAAAATGTGACTGCGGTCACCGCCTCTGATCCCGTAGTTGAGGTTGAATTCCATGTTGGGCTGGGATGCTGGCCGTCCGACGAGGATGATCATATCAACGGTCAACAGATGCGCGTACGACTCACCTCCAGGAGGACATTGCACCATCAGGTGTGCAGGGGTCGCCATGACGCGTAACTATTGAATATTAAGGGTTCTTCCGGTTCCCCGTCGTTCTTCCACATACCCACTATGACAGGCCTTGTGATATCTCGAGTTATGCCAACGATGTCATTCTCTGTCATTGCGGGGTCGTCGGAGGTGAACTCAAAGAGGTTGTGACATGGGTGCTCGATCAGTCAATCAGATTCCAAAAGCTAGACCTCACTAGACGTAGGACATTAGGCCGCTTCAGGCTGCGATCTTTTGACTGAATGCCAACATCCATAGTTCTTTGTCGACGACGAACTTGTCATGGATAAACTGACCCTTCCTTAGAGTCACTAATGGTCTCCATCCATTTGTTGCTCATCTGTGAGAATTTACGTTATTGACGGGCGTTGAGAGTATTGAGTGACTTGGATGCCTACAGATTCGGCGCACTTCTTGAATAATAATAAGAAGGCTTTGGACTCTGGTCCACCGAATCCAGGGAGCATTACTCTTCTGTGTTGTTTGTGATCATCACCTTCAAAAATTAACTACAGATCATTCCATGTTTTGATTTGGTGGCTGAAGACGTACCCTCCGCCCAGAGAATTCCCTTTCCACAGACCAACTGGGCGAGGATACGGCGATCAGGCGGTCTGGTAAACCGATAAACTGACTTTGCAAATATGTATTGCAGGGCGGCCGGGTCGGAAATCATCAATTGATCTTCCTATGAGTCAGTGGAGGATCAGAAAACGTATACCGCAAGTCTGGATTTCATTACATACGCCAAAAGAGCCCTTAAAGCGAACGATATTCCCATACTGAGCTTGCCACTTGAGGTCAGCTTCCGCTGCCTGACCTTGGTAGAGTTCTTTCAGATTCCCTGGTGGTCATATCAGCAGCGGAGGGATCCAGTAAGAGATGATAGACATACCCATGATAAACGATGCAGACTCCGGGCCAGGAACGTCTGCCAAAGAGATATGAGAGTATCGACGGTACACTCCATAGACAATCGCTAGAGCTGCAAAACCAGCAGTGATAAAAACAGGGATCCATAGTTACAAGAGATACGATTTCAAAAAGCTTGTGAAGGCAGCTTTATCAATGTCTCTCGCATGGACTAGATGTCGCTTAAAGTATGATACGTATTCCTCAACTACCGCGCGTGCCAGCGGTGTTGAGGAATAGCATCATAGATTAAGCGTCATCTGCATCGGAAGGAACAGGTCCAGAAGTTGCCTATTCCTGATCTCTTTACAAGCTGATTATTGCGTGAATTCGGTGCCGATAATACGACTTGGGCAGCAAAGACAAAGATCAGATCTATATGAAGCGTTGGCTCTTGGGTATGTCATAGTAGGGCTTTACACCAAAGATTCATCATTCTGTAGGCGGTAAGTCAGCTCCAAATCTTGGGAACTGCTTACACACAGTCGGCGTATTTTGATGACTCCCATGTTCTGATTGCAGCCACAATGATTCGACAGTCATCCTCTCATCGTGACAGAACGACACACAAATGACATAGTACTCACTCGTGTCTCTGCAAAACTAGCTCACGAGCGGTCCTCCGGGAGCGCTTCGCCGAGATTTGATGATGACTGGTGGTCATCCACTGACTCGGACACTGAGGGTTATCAGGATACATCACGAACCATTAATTATTCGGCCCATGGCACCTGTGACTCCCACGTAACCCTTGTAATTAGAGGTGGATGTTGGTTGCCTGGGCGCCTCTAAGTACAGGTAGATACAGTGATGTAGCGCTCGGACGGATAATTGCTGGGTACTTACTTTTCATACTTCATTTCCTTACTATCAAAGTAAATCAAGGTGGATAAGTGGGATCAGAAAGAAAATTAAATTAAGAATATAAAGTAGTACAAACATGACCATAATCGAGAGTCTAGGATGTGATTTCAAAAGCATGATGGTTGGTGTATTTATTGACACAGAATTTGCAAAAATAATCCATAGGTCTGGTAGTGGTAAGTTGAGCCTCTGACGAGGTAGACACTTGTGTGCAGTTCCAGTTTATTTCTCGGACTCTGTATAAGTGACAGTTTGGTGATGGCTTGTAAATTGGAGGAATAAAATGGCAGAATAAAATAAGAATTGAGTGGGGCTACTGCCACTACCCGAGTCACGTATGTAGAGCTACAGAACGATACATAGGCATGCTACATTTTCCAGATTTTGAAATACTAGGCGCGCATCAACACCCCTAGTCTTGGTTGACCCCTCCACCGTGGGAATTATTTGGTAGCGTATATCTCATAGCAAAAAGGCAGCTCCGTCGCCATACATTATGAGAAAGTGTACTACACTACCTCAGTCCTAAGACGGGTCCAGGAACTCACAGTCGTTTTCTGATCTTTTCTGATGTACCAAATTCCAACATTTTGTGCTTTCAGCCGATCATCGTGCATCATGACGGACTCGGCTGTCCGCTACATGCAATCTGCCTATCGCAGTGAATGTACATCCCATCGCGCCGGATAATCACGTCGCTCAAAGCCCAACCATGACATTATTTGAATTGGCGTTCTAAATCATCTGATATGGTCCGTTGCTATCATCGACTATGGTGTCCTGATTCCTCCGATACTTATCATCAGTAGGAGCGCGTCCGCCATCACAACCAATTGTACTTTGAAATGCAATCAATCAGAAAAGATTGACAGGGTAGGCTGCTGCGGAATTTAACTAATTAGGTTTCGAGAACCCAAGTTACACAGGAAGCACACGGCACTGGAAGAATCGTTTTTTCGCCATCAATTCCAGGACCCTCATCGTGATCACTGATCCCCGAATTGGTGGTTCTTTGTACCATATACAACGTCCCCGTATTCGTGCTACTGCGGCCGAATCGTGTACGGCAGCCTGCAGGGACGTCGTGATTGTATCACCGAGCAGCCCCCGCTGAGATCATCAATGATTCAAAATATACATAGACAATTTATCCCGTTTCTGATTCACTAACAGTTTTCTGGCACTGCACATGCGGTCCGAGGCCATCTATCATCGCATCGGATTTATGATTCCTATGAATTCTATCACACAAGAATCTACGCAAAGAAGCCCGTCTCAGATCTCACCGTCAGTCCGTTGTGAATGCCTTCCCCCTGAAGTCAGAGATTAAAACACGTGCATTCTTGTCAATCAGGTGTGTATGTGGTTTTTGGGCGATTAATTCGGTGAGTGCAATAATCATTTGTAGTATTGGATCGCACTGATTTCGTCTGGGTGACCCAAGCAGCTTTCATGTGTGGTCTGAGTCTGATTGGACTGCCTCTTCTATGTTGGTATGTATCAAGAGCCTCTTGAACGAGTGTAGAAGCTCCGGAGCACAAGAGCTGTCAGAAATCATGTACCGTTCCGAAAGCCAATCGTGTACTAGCGATTACTGAGCCAATGCTCCTTGCAGACTTTTCCCCCTCAACAAGATGTCCGTACCACAACAGACTTGCACATCCAGTCCTCGTAAGACAACAGTTATCTATACAACCATTGACTGATAGGGATTCTACATGGGCAATTCCGCCAGCTTGGCCCCCCAGCGGACGCTTTTCGCCGGTTTGCCAAGAGTGTGTCGATCAAGACGAGTCCAATGCTGCCAGATGCTTGATTTCTCATGTCATGTATTATCTGAGATTGCCGCACGCCTCTTGAATCCTAAATTATTCTAGTGGCGGTAGCGTACAGCCTTGTATTTTTACAACAGCATATATCCTTGTCTGTATCTATCGGAAGTTTTCCAGAAGAAAGAAGTATGTGCTGACCTATTTTTGACGGCGTAGCTCTGGGTGAAAGAGCTTGTCAATCTTCAAGTGCTTATCTTCGGAGGCCTGATCGACCACGGACGGTGCCTCATTCGACAATGTGCCTTTGGGAATACAATGATCTTCATCTATTGTAAGTATCAACCAACAATTCATGACGCTGAAACGGATCATCATGCATCGGGCTTTATGCAGCCTAAACCGTATCGCACAACAAAAGAGGCACCAACAGAAATTCTATATCTTTCATTTCTCCGGGTAAATCACAAACCTGTGATTGGACGCTACACTAAATAGTTCGCACTAGCCGAGCAGCGTATGTAGTCCAAAAACGAGATGCAGGAAAACAGCGTATTAAGGGCGGGCAACACCCAAAAATATAAGTCAGGGTTCAAAACCAGTGCATTTCCCTGCATTCTCATCACAAAAAAAAATATTGACATAGGTAATAAACAGAAAAGAGCGACGACAGAGCGGAAAGAATACGCACACACAAGTCACATAAGTACGCAACAAGGCAAATAGAGCAAATTTCTATGGTGAGGCTTATCACTCATTTGCAACCTGTTTATGAGCACGTGAGCGAAGAAGAATACGGGTTATGGGAATACGTACTCTGAGTACACGGTTGTGTTGACCGTAATCTTCGTCGTCAGCGTAACTCTGACGCTGGCTCGGAGGGCCATCATCGCGGTCATCTTCTCCCTCGACTTCGCCCACAGGACTGTGAGACTGAACAGGGGGTGGCGACGGGGAAGTCTCGTGAGGATTGGGAAAGCCAGGACTCAGTAGAGGTTGAGATGGTGCATTAACAAAACCAGTGTATGCATCTGCGAACTGGGTATCATTGCGCTGGGGTGACTGATATACAGGCTGAAGGGGCATGGGGTAGTTCTCGCTCGACGAGTGACCCTGCGAATGCCCCTGGGAACGCATACTTCCATGTGTCTGTTGGGTATACTGCGAAGGCCGGCGGTTAATATATGCTCCATTGTTCGCGGCGGTCATAGCGGCAACTCCGGTGCCTGCCAGACCAGCGCCTTCGAGCAATTCTACACCACGAGGTCTGTATCGTCCACTAAGGGTATGATCCGGTGTTTCCTGGGGTTGTGAGCCAGGACCAGCGAAAGCATGGTATGGAGTCCTGCGACTCGGCTCGCGAGCGAGATTGCCTGCACCAACACCAGCGATGCCTGGTGCACGCTGAGTTTCACTGTCTTGCCTGCTCCGAGCCCTTCCCACGTTAGCGGTAGCGAGAGATACTGCCCCAGCTGCATATGGATCATACTGTGTCATCTCACTCATGCCATATGTGTCAGTAGGAAGACCCATCGGAGCCTGGCCGAAAGTTCCATGAGTGGTATCAGAATAAGGATATCCGGCGCCGCCACCGCCGCCACCCGAATTGCCATTGTATGTGTAATCATCGAATGGCGAACGCGAAGAGGCAGCCGCCTCTGCAGCCGCTTCCGCAACGTCCCTGTCGAACTTCTGAGCACGACGACGCCGAATGGCGTTCGTTACAAGTGCAATGAAAATCGCAATAACAATGAGACCAACGACGGTGAAGACACCGGCAACAGCCCCAGTATTGGAGAAGAACCTATCACGATGGCGGTGATGTGAATTTCGTGAGTGTGTTTTTATGATCGAACTCACGAGTTGGATGAAGTGGCAGTATCATTACTAGAGGATTGAGTGGGGCTTGCAGTCACATAGGCATAACTGGTAACTACGACACCGTCACTGGTTGATGTGTAAGGTGAAGCAGTAAGGCTGGGTGTTGTCGATGTTGTTGCAGCTGTGGTAGGAGTAGTAGTAGTAGTCGAGGTAGAGCTACTGGTCTGGGTGGATGAAGTGCTTGACACAGTCGAACTAGTTGACTGGGTCGTGGACGAGCCCGAGGTCGTACTACTAGTAGTGGCCGGTGTGGTTGACGAAGAAGTAGAAGTAGAAGGAGTACTGGTGGGTGTAGTTGTCGAAGTAGGAGTCGACGATGTAGTAGGCGGCGTAGTTGGCGGCGCCGTCGAGACACCGCTGCGCTAGAGTTCCAGCGAACCGGATCTAAGCTGATAAATGGAAAAACTCACCCAAGGGTCGGTGTGATGGGTGGTGTTATTGTCACTGCAAAAGTGTTGTCTGATGAAGTGTATAAATCCCAAGCGCAATCATGGACTTACGAGGATTGGACATTATCTAAACCTAAATGAGTGGATCTTTTGAAAAGATTAGAACTTCAATAATTCAGGAGTCAAAGTGTCGACCTGCTGTCTGAACCAGCAAGATCAAGCGGAGAACGTTGTGGTCAACGAACAACACGATTCGTGTGCATGAGAAGTTTTACTTGTGTAGTTTGAGAGCAGTTAATCAAGCTACCACGCCTTTGTTGTTCAAATCCTTATGTAAGCAGGCACGGCGTTAGATGGGAAGATGGCACGTAGCACGAGGCCAGATGGAGCCTGCCCGGCTCGTGGAGCACTGACCCCACGGCGAACATGCACAATCAGACTATCAATACCACCCTTAATCCCACTTTCGCTTTTTCTGTCGAGGTTCCTCCTCCTGCTCGCCGCCGTCTGAACTCCCATCCTCTTCCACCGGTATACTCTTTAAGCCTTTCATCTTCCGCGTTTGGAGCTTGTTGAGATCTTGCTTCGCGATATGCAGCCGTCCCCTCAAGTCGCCCATTTCGTCCACTTCCATGTTTTTCTTCTTCTTTCCAAGACCCTTCTCCAGGTCTTGCTTCTTCAATTTTGGTCGTCTCATAGCAGCCTTCCACATCTCTGGATCAGCGGCTTGATGGCGTCTCAGTGATAGGTCAAGGAAAGGGCCCATTTCCGTCAATTCAACTCGTGGTACACGCGTTCCCGACGGAAGTAGTTTCACGGTGTATGTCCGTATATGGATTTTGGGTAGATTTTGGATGTCCTCTTCCTGGGAGTCGCCTAGAATAGGATTTACTGTTTGTAGCGAGGGAGCAGGCCCGACGCTAACGCTGATAACATGCTCCAATCCTGGCAAACATATCGAATCGATGACTTCTCCATTGAAGAGATCCATGAGCAAGGATTTTACTTGAACAAATCGTGGATGGGTATCGAATAGTTCTGATGCGAAGTGCATCATGGGCTTATGTCCTGGTGTTGATTTTGGTGTCTACCGCGCGTCAAAATTTTACATTATACGGCCAAGGGACAAAAACTCACTTTAAACTCTGCCATGCTAACGAACTTGTCTACTCCAAGTTCGCACATATCTAGTAGTCTCGAGTCGAATGTACGCGCGATGATAAGACCTGCAGGTCTCTTTTTCGTAGACTGGCCCACGAGGAACATGGACGCATCATTTTTGCCCGCCCAAAATTCAAGGGACGAAGCGTCCTCAAAGGGGTGAATGGTGTTTTTCTTCGAGAACGATATTGTGTCTGGTCGTTTGAGTGCCATCTAGTTGATGATTAGTCTCCAACCTCAAGGACTTTCGAAAGATACCTACCAGCTCTTTCATCACACCGTTCACAATCTCCCCTGTATGAGTTCCCTTTACAAATATCGCTGTTCGAACATCTTCGACCTCCTTGGCTTCACGAGCCTCCAAAGCCCGTTTTGACCTAGCATTGCGTGGTTTCCTACAATACACCCTCAGCAAGCGGACAACCCTTTGAAATCACAAGGACTTACACAGTTCTCAACATACTCTCAAGGACCGATCTGCCAAAAAAATCACTTGACGTTCAAGTCAGCCAAAATATTAATGGAATTTTCCAGCTGCAATCACCTTCCATTCTAGGAAAAACACAAGACGTTGTTGTGCCATATTTATATTTTATTCAAATCCGTCCCGCGAATGTCGCGCTCGAGCTGAATACGGCAGGTCCGTACTCCATGCAATGTGCCTTTTCATAATAACAAGTGTTCCTCGAGTGGTCGTACGTCCTGATCAATAACATACGTAGAGACTTCACGGAAAAAGTATTACTGAAAAGCGTTCACAGGCGCATATCATATATCAAGTGGCGTCCACCGATGACTTGCCGTCTTTCTCACAACAGAGAAAGACGCCGATGTGTCTCCAAATCTGTGGTCAGCGATGACTACAAGCGTATAGATGACTGACTAAATATTGTACTAAGTCTTTTGGTTTGCTGGGAAAGATCATCCGTGATTGGCATGTCTCCAAGTGCAGTACATCCTATTGATCAACAATCTGCCAATCAACCGAGTACACATCAATGCAGAGGAAATAAACCGATTGGACGGCCCGATGACACAATATTCAAGGGGGATTTGCAACTCACCGAGATGTTTGATTGTGGCGACTATCCAGTCCATTCAGAGCCTTAGCAAGCCTGAGCGTTATGGCGGTTTCAAAGGGGTGTATTTACTTTGGGATATACGACAAAAGATTAGGAAAACGAGGCACTACCGTAGCAGTACATACAACCTCAACGAAACCCCACCAAAAGGTATAAACAACACTACACGGACACCTGAGATTAAGAAGAAAATGGTATAGGTGAGTGCGAAGATATAACGATGAAATACTTGTACTAGAAAGGGTTTGAGTCGCACCGACCGAGCAAGCAGGAAAAAACACAAGATAGGTAGGTAACCACGCTGCAAACAAACACCAATGTTCGTACCCACAATTACCAAGGATATAAAGATGAAGTTTTAATCGCCCACGACCGTCACACTTTCATTCCAACTGCAGCGGAGGAGTATGGAGATGCAACTGGTGATTCCCCTCCTCGCCTTGATAGTGCTGGAGGGGTTGCCCCATTGGATGATGGGGATGACGAGTTTGATTGTATGCTGACGGATCGAGCAACGGTGGCGAAGGCAACGCCGTGTGGTTGGGATCGTGGGCTGCGTGATGTGTCTGATAAGGGTGAAGATGCGAAGCTTCCTCTGTTAATGGAAAGTATGGCCCCTGCTGCTGATGCCGATGATATGTCGTGCCGAAATTGTGGAGAAATTCGGCCTCCCCCGAGCGTCGCCGCGCCTGCGCTATACGCTGATGTTGGAGCTGCTGGAGCTGCTGGCGTCTGAGCTCCTGGGAGTAGTGAGTAGCTTGAGATGGGTGTTCTATCGACGAGTGTGAGGGATGATGCTGATGAGATGATTCCTGATGCGGTAGTCGGCCGTGAAGCCGTTCCTGTTGCACTGGGTAAAAATGATCGTATTCCTGTATCTGCATCTGGCTCGTTGCAGAGCTCCAGGACGGTGAGCCTTCGAGATTGAGGGCGTGATTCTGACCCGTACTCGTACTCTCCAGGCCCTGAAAGCCCGCTGCTGGGTTCTCGACGTGGGACATCATCGTCTGGTCCCGGGTATGGTCGTTTGCGAGGGTTGCTTGGTGGTGAATATGCGAAAGGCCCACTAGATGAGACTGACTCGGCGAGCGCTGGTGGGTGGAAGGAAAACGGTGAGTCATATGAACCCCCTGTTGGAGATGCTGGTTCTGAATCGTATGGGATGCTCCCGTAGGAGGATGTGAGGGATGGCGCTGCCATGTCGCCGCGTCCATAGACTGGAACGGATAATTCTGTGACCAATCCAGGCCCTCCAGCGTAAGCAGGTTTTGTGGAGAGGATTGATGCGGGAGCTGTACCTGGGCGATTGGCTGTTGTAGGTCTTCGGAAGGGTAAGGGAAGTACGTGTTGTGCTGACTGGGCGAATGATTGGGATGGTGGAGGGGGGATTGTCGCGGAGACGACGGCAGCGAGTGGCGGGAGCGTTCTAGCATGTGCGTCGGGACCCCCTGCAGTTGGTGGCCTGCTGCTGCTAGATCCGGGCCGACCATCCCGTGAGAGACTGTCCCTAGAGGGGAAACTGAAGTTGAATGTGTTGGTGGTGAAGGTCTGAAAGGACTGCGATTGCTGCTGCCAGGAAGTAGAGGATGCGGGGGGGACACGAAAGGACTGGCTGGAGTCACGAAAGGAATGGTTGTTTGTAGGTCGAGGATTACCAACACGATGATCCAAATCAGAATTCCAACCGTCACCGTAAATCATGTTGTCACCACCCTCGTAACCAGTGCTCGTACCGGGACGCTGGTGCATGGGGTGGAGAGAGGCAGACAAGTCCTCCTCCTTGACTTGATCGAGACCATGCATTGAATTATCTTGAGATCCTGAATGATTGCTTGAGGAGAGTACGGCAGCGGCATTAACGGAAGCTTGACCTCTCTTGCCTCTTGGCTGACCGGTTTTATTTGCGGCTGCCATAGAAGCATGAAGAGAGGTAAGTTCACGCATCATGCGCTCATTCTGCTCTTGCTTATCAGCGTGAACAGTCTGAGCATGCTGGCGTAGATTGTCGAGACGCGAAAATTGCTTGCTGCAATGGCAAGTAAAAGGGCGCTCGCCAGTATGTTTCCTGATAGGAAATTAAAGAGATCGAACGGGGGTATGTGCCTCGGTACCTACCTAATGTGCCTGGCAAGATGCTCACTTCTACTAAAAACCATACGACACTCGCCATAACCTCTGCATTGAAAAGTCTTTGCAGGAGCAGGACGATAGCGTTTATTAACACCCTGTATACCTGCTGAAGCAGATAAAATTGATGGATTGTTGGGAGCGACTAGAGCCATGTCGGCAGATGATGAACCTGTGGGAGAGAGTTCACTCTGGTCGTCGTAGTTATTATTTAATGATTGATTGAGATCGTGAATCTCTGAGGAGCGAGGAGAAATTGAAAGTGAAGCAGGTGAAAGTTTTGAATCGACTTGGGTGTCGACAGTTGAAGATTTTGAGTCCTCCATGAAGCGGGTTAGGAAAAGAGGAACAAACTTCTATAAAAAAGGTGCCTGATTGCAGACGCTGGAAAGAGTTAAGCCCAACACCTCAATTAAGGCACCGCAATCGTCGGACTTTTAACCTATCCGTTATTTTGGTTCAGGAACAGCCCCGCCGAGCCACGGCACCGTTTTGCACTGATAACACACGTCACGCCGTAAACGATGCCGTGTTTTAATCCGACCCCCCACACATACCTCTAGAGTATACATCCAAGATTATATTCTATATTATTCCCGGAAAAAAGTACACGCTTTTTCCCATCTTCCCTTTAACTCCTACTTTATGGCCAAGTCCAGACTGCATCAATCCGTGTCCGTTCCGAATATCACTGTGGCTGTGGCCCGCCCCCATCGATTGCCATCTTTTCGTTGCCAACCCTTATCCAAGCTCGCGTTTATAGGATTCACTCTTCCCCAGAAGAAAAAATGACAATCCAATTCTCGTGGGACAACCCGGCCTTTCCGGTCACTCTATTTTTCCGTCACTTCATCCACGGAATTTGAATTGGCATTTTTGTGTTCACTTGTCCGCATCAGTCCCGATGCGCTATCTGCGCTTTTCCATGTACCTGTCAGACAACGTCTGATCCGCTTCTTTCAAACACAATCTACTTACTCCGACATTCAAGGCGGATTGTATTAAGTACTCCGCACGGTCAATTGCAAGTAACATGACCAAATGATCCACGAGATAAACATGCGTCTGAGACCAGCCTAGAGCAACTCTCCATGCTATCACCGCGCACGAGGTCCTTTACATACACGTGTAGCATCAAATCACGAAATTTATTCATGGACATAGTGCTTTTCCTCTCACAATCCCGTCACGTCCCATACTCCTCCTACCGCCCATCAATCCAATAACATATTGATATAGACTCCCCATCATATAAGTAACATAACACAGCATAGCGCTGGCACACATTCCTTTGTCCGAATAAGTAATTAATCTTGCAAATTCTGAATCCCAAGCTCTGGCGCCGATAATTGCGGATAAGCAGGGAATTACCCACCCAAGACGGTCTAAGTAGGTTCCATGACGGTCTAGACTCTCGAAGCATCCGATAACACTGCCTGCTTGGTGCGACCAATGTACGTCGTACGCCTCGGGACAGCACAGCTACCCGCGCCCCGATCACCAAAAGTTCATTCCACATTCCGTTAGGCACATAGCCCAGGGCCCGCAAGGGGCACGGCAAATGCAAAGACTCTCGGAGACAACTCGAACAAAACCAACGATCGACGCTTACGAAAACAAAGTGCCTGGGCAATCAACCTTACGTACCCCACACCTCTTAACCCCCTCTCGAAATGGAAGTTCAGGACACGCAAGTAAAAAGTATTGTCGTGAGGAACAGCCTACTGATCATGATATCCCACTCCTCCAAACCATATTCTTACAACATCGGACGGAGGCCCCCGCTCGTTCGCCCATCATACCTTCCCCATCAATACTGTCAAAGCTTATCCAAGGCTAGCCCGGTCGTGTCGTAAATTTGCCAGAGACCCATCAAATAACTGTTCAAAAAATAACGAACTATGAACACAAACACCATACAGGCGTGACTATCCGCAAGAAAATGTCAAAACACACCCGAGTCCCGTTGGTCTAGCCCATGCTATGTATAGGGTTTATACCCACCAAGGCCAAGAAATTCCTTGGGAGCTGTACATAGCATCTCCCGCGACTAGCGTAATTCGAACGTACTAATCGTGACATCGGCGAATTCTTCCTTGCAGAGCGCGCGGGAGTAACGAAAGTATCGGATACGATACATACCCAGGTCGAGTTTAATTCTAAATATGTTTATGTTCCACGGACCGCTGATTGATTTTCACTGCGGGATGCAATTTTTGTATCTGTGATACATTGCGGCAGATCCTCCGCATCTCGGCCATCGTAATAGCCAGCTTATGCGATCAAGTGGCTGTACCAAGGTACGAGTCCTTGCTGAAGAACTGAGTAACACCGTTGACGGTCATGAGATGTTTGGTGTACGATATCGTCTCTGTAAGAGACCTTGCACCATCAGGGGCGCGTATGACGTTGTTGTAATCTAACACATAACACAGACCATGTATGGCACGGAAGGATCATTCTGGCGTTAAAAGAAGACATGATGTACCGCGCGGCCGAGTGTGGGATGGAAACTATCGTTGACGCGTCCGGGAACAACAAAGACTAATAGTATCTCCCTTGTCCTGCATCGATCCGTGAGATTGGGTACTAGGTGCTCAAAGACAGGGCATCGACACAATGTCGACAGAAGAGGGTGGGACGAACATACGGAAATTAAGAATTGACATACCGTCCCATCGCGCGAAGAGAAATGTATCCGACGCGAGTGGTTTTCTAGAAGCTTGAAATTTCCCTAGAGTAAGCAATGGGCTCCCTCGGTTTATGAAATTACGCTCTCCCTGATTACCTGAAAGTTAGGTTGATTTTGAAATTCGAAATAGCCAAGTGCAACTCTGATCCAGTGTCATCAAAAGGGTTGAGCGCGCGCCCATCTTCGTCAACGACCCGTTCACAGGCTGTCCTTCTAATGTTTCATCGTCACCTTTACTAGGTGACTGTCCCGGCTGAAAAAAATCCGCTCGAATTTTAAATCGTATGCTTGAATCCATCAGGTGTCACTTTTCCGCGCCACTGTAGCCTCATTAACTGCGTCCATTCATATTGGAGTGTCAAACAACACTGCCTCAGTGGCTGGTAGTCGCCATTGTCGTTATACGTTAGTTTCCGGGCGGTAACGGTGATGGTAGTGATTCGTTGCCTGAAAATCTTCAATCTGCCCTAGTATCAGGAACCGTTCCAAAGTCAGTAATGGGCCAGAAAGTCCGTCATCGAAACTTACTTTCATTACGCGCATCGATGTTATGGCACGTCTGCGGATTATTTGACGTTACTTAGAAGTCGATCACTCGGAGGTGGAGTATCAGCACTTTATCAACTGCGATTTGATAACTCACATAAAACTTTATGTCTTACAGGACGTGCTCGTTAATTTCCGTGTAGAAGTCCTCGCCTTCGCCTTCGAAAACAAAGAGGGGTCCTTTACTCCCGGCCTCACACCCATGCATCCAGCACACGGAACCTACTGTCCACAAATGCCAGCTGTGTCTGATACCACGGCGCCGGCACGAGTCGCATATGACAAACCTTGTCGGAGCATGAAAGAAATTTGCGGGTATAAACGGAAACCGCGTTGGCCTATGTCAATGTTGCGATGATGGCTTCCCACTGACAGATCATGTACAGGCCAATCTGCCAAGGAAAACTATCATTCTAATCACCTTCAAAGGGCTAGTCACGATGCATTGATGACTTACCACTGGTGTCGCCAAGAACATCAACTTTGCCAACGGAACGTTCAACGCTGTTCGACGTCGGTTATATGAGTATTACCGGTCCCGGCTGTCACAGAACGTTGGTCGAATCGCTCCAAGTCAAACACCGAAAGTTTTGAGACGAGCATTGATGAGCACGCAGAAAATCGTAGACAATATAGTCTAGTGTCGGCGCTAATGCGCCCTATTCAGGTTCGACGGAATTTCGCGCCAAACATATGCATCAAGATTGCGTAACTTGTAAATGATCCGCGGCACTAGTACATCTGTACGCCGTTCATCGCAAACGTTCAAGGCGTTCCCCGAGGCCCTGCCCCACACACAGGTCCAACCGATATCAAAACCAAGTAGCCGACTTTGCTCCGCTATTCGACGTTACCCACGGATCACGGCGAGTCTCGAATTTGTAAGTTGTTTCGGTAGGTCGGTCCATGTATCCCTGTCGGGATCATTGCTCGGTACTTACTCAATCTTGCAGCACGACATCGGCCTGGGTCGTGCATTATTAATTACCTCACTACTGGGATACTACATGACATTATGTCAACAACTTGCTCTGTGTAGTAGGTATATTTGTTGATATGGTACGCCTCAGTATCCTGCTATAGGCGTCAATGTCTGACGTTTGATTAACGGCACATAGATACAGGCTGTAAGCCCAGCTCAGCTGTTATGTGATGCATCAGTGAGCTCTTTCTTCTACCAATACGTATGCGCGGCCGGTGTTTAGGGGGTCAGGGCTGCCCAGCAACGCGGCGGCACCGCATGTGGCATGGCAGGTAATGGCAACTCATGGAGGTAATTATCATTTCAACAGAGAAATATTGGCGAACAACCTTTCGCGAGTTATCTATCTCCTTCATGCCCATCTTCGCAATCACTGCCAGCGATGCATGTGGTGAAAGGTAGGTGGCGTCAGGTGGCGTCTTACCCGTGTGCTCTGATGGAATCTCACAGGATGTCATGCGATTGGTTGGCCTAGACACCAGGAAATGGCCGTGATGGGAACACCACCTAAATCGTACCTTTAGATGGGCGACTAAAATGAATCATAGACTTGATATCGCAATATTCTGTTTACCCGATATTGATCCATATGATTCAACTGTTATGATTTCTCCGCTTGCTTTCTCGATTGCTCTACGCCTGAACATTCTGAACCATTGGGGTAAGAGCGAAGATATTTAATCTTACCGGAGCTAAGCCTGTCCAAATATAGCAGGGACCTTTGCTGCAACCAAGTTCCGGAATGCTTATAAACTGAAAACCAACTTCTCGCGATATGAGCAATAAGGCGGCACAATCAGAGAACTTGTGGACGGAAACACCCCTGGTCTATTCCAGCCATATTTCTGATATCATCGGATGTTCTGCCTACCTAAAGCTGGAGGTGCGATACAAGTTTGGACCATGTGTGACTCATCGAACAGGTATACCTACAGAATTTGCAACCTTCTCAATCATTCAAATATAGAGGGATATCGAAATTCGCACAACAATGCAAGGATAAACATGGCCCTTCGGTGCACCTGATGATCGCTTCGGGCGGAAATGCAGGTCTAGCTGCGGCAGTTGTAGCACGTGTTTTGGGAGTGAAATGCACAGTGTTCCTTCCTATCAATGTAAGTATTGACACGCAACAGGCTCTCCGAAAACAAGGCGCAGAGATTGTAACAACTGGGGAATTCTACTCCCAAACACTCGCTGCGCTTCGAGAAGCCGTGAAGAAAGACACAAATGCGTGAGTACAGACTCAGTCGTCACTTGCGTCAAGCCAACCGCATCTTAGTGTCCTAGTGCCCGCATATGATTCGCCTGTCCTCTGGGATGGTCATTCATCCATGGTGACCGAGATGCAGAGACAACTTCCCAGGCAGCCGGACGCCATATTCTGCAGTGTTGGTGGGGGAGGCCTTATCGGAGGTATCATGCAAGGCTGCAAGAACGTTGGGTGGGATGGAGGTATTTTAAATCCTAAACCGCTGCGTACATACCTCTGATTCGTGCCTAATACAAGTACCGGTCGTGGCACTTGAGACCATCGGCTCGAACTGCTTTTACAATGCCATCGCCATCAATACCCGGAACTTTACTTCTAAAGTCCCCATCGTACCTTCCGCTGAAGTAGAGGACAGTGCTCCGTATACTGTTGAAATCGTTGAAGAGCATAACATCGCAATCCCACACATGAAATCGCTGAAATCGAGAGCAGCCTCGCTAGGCGCATCCTCGCCAGCTCCTGGGGTAGTTAGAATGGCACTCGATCGCGCAGGAGGAATAAAATGCGCGTGCGTCCCAGACGAGATGGCTATGCGCACTGCAAGATTGTTTGGAGGTGAGTCCCTGTGCGACGCAAAACACCAGTTGAATAGTGCAATAATCATACTGCCAGACGATCACAAAATACTAACGGAGCTCGCTTGTTCGACAACTCTGACTCCTGGATATAATCGCGAATTTCTCTTGCGCATCCTCGGGCCAACATTCTCGGCACTTTCTCTAGAAGAGAGGAAAGAGAAATGCTTAGTTTTTGTGGTGTGCGGTGGAGTCAAAATTTCTTTTGAGGAGATGAGGGAATTTGAAGAGATTGTCGCTGCGGCGCAGGTGCAAAGCTACTGGCGCATGCACATCAACGGCGAAGAAACTCAGGTGTCTAAACAATGATACTGAAAGATAGATGGGAATATTGATACATTGATACAATACTGAAAGCCTAGACGAAGTAAATGCGTTTCGAAGGAAGTAAGGGAGACCTAACGACTACGCACGACTGACTTGTAAATGCCACTCATGGTAAGAACTTCAGGCGACACACCGCTACCCAGAACTACCACCATTTGAACCACCCTTTTGAACTCTGTGCAACTGCCTCTGATTGTGTTTGAAGCTCTTTCTCCCGCTCTATTCGTCGTGCGAGTTTATCCGCCTTGATCCTTGCCAGCTCTTCTCGGATGGCGGTTTGATCTGTTGGTATTTTCTACGTACGTTTTGAGTACAGGGATGAGCAGTACATTAATATTAAAAAACTTCACGCTGTACGTCCTTTCTGGAGGTGGGAATAGATGACCCTTATACTGGTCGTAAAAGTCAGCGACCAAGTCATCATAAACGAGACGACGACCCACAGGAAGGACGTGGTCATGGTACCAAGCAGGATCACCGAAATGTAACAAGGCCACGACCGGTACAAACAAGTACAGACCGAATTTGAAGACCTCAAGATTTGGACCACCCATGGTAGACGAGCCAACGCACAAAGCAATTCTCTGTCACTCGCAGTCACAGGGCATGAATGTGAAGAAACGATCACGTGATTATTATTCATTCATTGACGCGTTGCCGCTCTATGATACTCACTTGGTCACGTCTCCCATAGTCAAACCTTGAGGAAGGAAGCCACCCGTTCCTTCTTTTCCAAGCTCGTAAGTCGAAACGACCGATTTAAAGGCCTATTAATGTAATAGCTGAACTTAGATTGTCTTGATCTGCAGGCATTGCACAGATTAACATGGCGCAACGAGAGGACGAAAATGTGGCTCATAAGCGAGCAGTGCAACAGAGTCAGAAATCTCAAGGAACGTGCCCCAGCGCTCTGAGTCGGCCTTCTCGTCCGAGTAGTTCTGAGAACTCCGATATATGTACGATCCAAATCAGAATGCATATGTGCTCCGCTCATGCCACTTCCAGCCTCAGTCTGTACTGATGCGATATGCGACCCAACAAAGACCACAAAGTATAAACGCCAACTCACCCCGGATTCCGACCCCACAGACATACAGGTGAAACGCCCACGAGTCGATAAGCTTGCTCTTCGCAAGCATGAGCGGTTTTGGCTTGCGGACGGAAATGCTGTCATTGAACTTGACGGTATACGCTTCAGGGTGCATCAATCGTGGATCGCAAAACGTTCAAAACGGATTGCAGCCATACTCCCCGATAAAGACAAACAAGGCGGCAGACTTGAAGAGATTACACTCGATTTTTGCGGCCCGCTCAAAGCAATAGATTTAGAGGCACTACTTTTATTTTATGAAAACCCTGGGTGAGTATATACTGAAAATTTATCATTGTATTAGCCTGACGAGTGGGTTAGGGACTACCGCGATTACATTGAGACCCCCACGCTGATGTCCCTTATTCGCGCAGCAACGATGCTTGGCTTTGACTCCGATCGTGTATGGCTCGTGAGGGAGTTGGAAGCACTTTGGCCATTTAATCTTGGAGAGCTGTTCGTCAACCCGGAACCGCGCATCGATGCTCCAGAGGTGGCTGCCCTTGCAAGGACGTGCGACATTGATGCGTTGTTGAAACCTGCATTCTACGATATGGCACGAGTACCTGGATTCGGTCTGAACAGGCTGGATAAATCAGAGCAGATCAGCCGTGCGGATGTACTGCGCCTTGTCCGGATGAGAGAGTATCTGAGTGGCACGTGGACTCAGGTGGCTGCACACGAGGATCCTACCTTTGTGTGCCAAACTTTTGGGATGCGGTATGCAGCAAGGGACAAGGACCCGCAAGTCTGTCTGAAAGTGCTGAGGAGAAACCTGCACTTTGCTCTACCGCCTCCGCTAGTATGGTTAACAAATGCCTCTCTGCGACGGCACGATGCGAGGCGTGGGTTCGGCTTGTGCACCGCTCAGATATTTTCGCCCGGTATCGGTATGACCCACTGCGTGGACTGGCGGCGTTGACAAACATCGCGTGGACGGACGACTGGTGCAAAGATTGCCAGGAGAAACGGAAGGCGGATTGGCGTATAATGCAGAGGAGCATTTGGGAGAAGGTTGGTGAGTATTTGAGGGAAGATTTATAGGTGGATATTGCAGTGAGTTACATTACTCCCCGGGTTTCTTACTCCCCCGATGATTCAAAGTTTTGCTCGCATAACAACCATCCCCTGTCATTATGTCCCGCTAGAGTTGCACTGCAGTCGACCGACTCTGCACCAGGACACGGCGTCAGAATGGAAAGGATTTGGGACCAGTGTTCGATGGTGCAAATGCGGCTCAGGACTGTCTTTTGTACAGGTCCAGGAAGTTATTATCCAGTTTCATCAACCTCCATTTTGTCACTGCATTAGTCTCTCCGCTGTCGTTCGAACGACCCGTTCCCAGTGTTTCAAACTTCTTGGTACAGCAGTTAAACATTGAGCCGTCATTCACACCTTGAACCACTACGTTACCTGTGCTCTTTCAGCACCTCTTCCCATCGCACTAGCCATGCTATCGTTAGACGTACATCCTATGTGTATTGCTTTGCTAGTCTTTATGATTTGGATACTACAAGTGATATTATGTTTGAGACTTGCTGAGGTTGTTACAACGTCGCGCAGACTTCATCACCGTAGTTCGAGGATATGACGATGGTCAAGCATGTCATACCGATTGGTCATTCTTATTATTGGTAACTACAAGGTCACAACCACGAGACGCCAAGCTACCATCTCCTGATTCTTCCTCATACAAACAATTGAAAATCAACCATGTCGAGGCTTCTTTGGCGGAGGCGATGTTTCTTCTCCCGGTCTGGGCCTCTTCTGCTTCAGGAGGTTGGGGAGCGGACAAAGTTCTATACCACCAGCATGCTGTTGTGCACGATCGAGATATCCTGCAGCTTGTCTGTGCATATCTTTCAGAAGAGTGTCGTCAAGCGCTAGCAAGGGATAGTTTGCTTCCGCCTTTCGATAGGCATCTTGGAGAGTGCCTGCGAAATGAGGAATACAATCGCAAACACGACAACATGTCTCTGAAAGGACCTTGTCGCAGGTGGTTTGGAGTTCATCACCAAAGACGAAGAACTCCCAGCGTAGTTGGCCGACCGTACCAGGGAAGGCCAGCCAGAATTGTTCCCACTGAGCATGTACATTGAAGGGATGGTTGACGTCTGCCGCGTCCGTGTCCGTGTGATAAAAGAAGATCCAGGTAAAAGCCCACCATACGGATTCAATGTCGTGCAGGAAATTCATGCGAAATGGAGGACCGAGCGGGAGGCTTGTATCATGAGGATCTCTACCAAGTGGTCGGAGGTTAGAAGTTGTTGGGCGGAAAAGGTACTTCTCTCTTTCTACTTCTACCGCCATGAAATGTATTGTTCCCTAGCGACAAGTTAATAGCGAAAGAGATTGTCTTCAAAAGGTCTTACCGTTCGAACATCGTGGGAAATATTTGAATCTATCTTTTTCGCGTACTCGAAGTCACCCAATTTCCCGATACTCCCGTTGTTATCGACGACCCAAATTACGTTCCCGACGCTGAAATCGCGATGAACCCAGCCTGCTTTGTGCATATAATACAGGGCTAAGGCTGAATGAGCGACTGAGGGAAGGAGAGTGACAGTGGTTTGCTCACCCTTAAGTCCGCCGGACAAGCAACTCAGGTTGTCGGCCAAAGAGGTGACATCCTTAACAGCGACTCCAACATCATGGAAGACAGTGCGAGTATGAACCCTGCGTGGGATGCCAGTGTCACTTCGCGCAATACTACCCAATTGTGTGGGAAGAAAGGCAGACAGTCGACCAGAGTCGGGTACGTTGCCTGTGCTAGGTAAATGTGGTCTCGCGAAAAGGATGGGGTTGAGATTGAAGGACACCCACTCCCAGGTACAATTATGCTCTTCTCCAACCAGCGGGTCCAACGTCTCGTCTGGGGTATCGTCGATTGTGACATCCTTCCAGAGCCGGACTCCAACGAAGTGCCTCTTAGCATCCGCCAACTCCTCTGCTTGCAGCTTCTCCGCACAGGAAGCCAAGATATTTTCTAGGATCTCGCCGTCTGATTGACGTTCAACTTCTCTCCATGAATCTTTGATGGCAACCTTCTTTCCCTTGGCGTCCGTGGCTTCGTATACGCGAGTTCCACGCCCAACCATAAAGTCTGCGCCATAGGTTGCAAGTTCACGTGTCGTGGTGAACACTTCATTCCCAATAGTGAATTTATATTGGATTTCCTTTCCATCACGTACCCGCTCAACAGTGGGGTCCCATCCGAGCTCTTTCATAGTAGAAGACGCAGATCCAAGAACGTAAAAGAGAGAGATAACACCATCAATGTTCTAAATGTACCATGCTTGTTAGTACCCTGACACGCGGCGCGATACATTTATGTACCTCGAAGAAGTTGATAGGTTCTGTAACTGCAAGGAACGCACGATTGCTGAGCCACAGTCTCAATTGCGTGTCCTCGATTGTGATACCAAATGTAAACCGACGACAGGGATCCTCCCGCATGATACTGTGAAGGCTCCAGATTATCTTTTGTTCGTCCTAGAGCAGGCTTCGTGAGCAGACGCTGACAAGATCTACAATAACTTACGTCTCGGAGACTCAGTATTCCGTTTCTTCTTGAACTCGAATGGCACAGCGATGTCAAACCAATGCATCTTGGGCTCAGTTTTTTTATCGCTAAGTACAAGGTATCCATCAGGCCTGGAAGTATTGTTGCGCTGCGAGAGGGGTGTTCCTTTGGGTTCGCTAGGAAGGATACTCCGCAATCCGGGACTTCGGCCAAAATTTCAGAGATGATGAGACCGAGGGGCTGAAACATATTTTCTTCGGGCCCTTTCGATTTGGCAGGCGGGGTAAAGTCCGTCCATCGCAGGCCACTCTCGTCATCGGTGAGGATCTTGCTCTCTTTATTAGTCAAGCTGTTGCGTATTCGCTGCAGATCCTGCTGAGAGGGCATGGCACCGACACATTTCACTAGGCAATCGAATGGAACCTGTAGATAGCTTCCCAAATCAGCGAGAACGGCAATGCGGCCTAGTTTCAGATCCCCCGTGCGATAATCAGTTTGTGAGATATGATGAGTGAATGGAACTACATCTGGCGGTAGTATTTGTGACCTCTGAGATCGTGGTGTATGAGGGGTGGCCATTGTGATTCAATAAGGCAAGTAAGGATAAGTTCGTTTGGGGAAATGAAACTGTTATTATACCACAAGAAGAGGACTGTTGCTGCAGCATCATATGTAGAGCTTAAATCCTTGCCAGTAAATGGACTCGCAAGTGTGGCTATGTACCACCACGGGCGATGATCGACATTGAGAGTGCGGCCATGAAACTCCGACTGAATTGAGCCGAACGGCTGACACGCCCCCAGAGTGGGACCCATACAAAACCCTTGGAGCCCCCAGAGTGTCCATTAGCCTGACTTTCTGTTGGGCTTTGGAGGACACGAATAACATGGTCAAATGGGCACGTACCAAACATCTGTGTGGTGTCTCATGTCCCCTGGTATGGTCTTGCTTCAAGTTGTTGGAGCCGCCCCAGGCTGAATGGCCTCCTATCATAGGATGGACTATTTATGATAACCGCGTTGTCTTGAACTGCACTGTTTTTGTCGTGACGGCTTCCCCATCAAGTATTCCTGACCGTCTTACCATCACATCCACCGCTATGAGTGTATTCAATGGTGAAGACACTGTAAATAGTTGAACCCCATGGGATCGCGAGACGCGAGTTATTTCAACTAATCAAGCTCAAAGACTATTATTTCCAAGTGCCGAGTCGATATCTGATGGCGTCACAGTGAGTAATGGGAACCTTCACTTGTGCTACTTGCTCAACCTTGGATAGTGGCTCGTGAATGATCCTCCTCAATCGTAAGTATTTTAATGCCAGCGTTACCACTGATCGGCAGAACTCTTTTTTGGGTTCTGGCGGACGTATTCCTCATTGGACACTGCCATAGATGAGATGGGGAAATCTACGCTTCCCGCTCTCTGTTGGATATTTTTTTGCCCAAGTAGATGCAGATCATTGGAAGAACTATGCTTTGATGAACCAATGGGTCTTGCGCAGCGCCTTTCCCTCTTTGACGACAAAATACTCTTATGACTGGGAAGATCGCGCATATACTGACCGAGCCGGCGCCATGCATGGCCATCACTTCTTGAGCATCGGATGAACAGCACCAGACCCATCCGCTTTGCCTGGGAGTGTGCATTGGTGGAGTACGATTCGCGCGAACGTTATCCGCATTTTCTGGCTGGACCCGAATGTAATGAGCATGGACAAGCTTTCTTGAGCAGAGCAATTCGCCCTCGCAGCGAGAACCGTGGTTTGTGCTGGTTTTTATCTACAAGGAAGGACTCCGGGAGAATGTGAGTCATCACTTCTTTTCCTTTGATTATCTCTTCTTATAGCTCTATCATCTTAATCTTCAGATCTATAGCTCACACCAGCACCGTCTACTTCGTTCCTCGCGCCTCTGGACTGTTACGAATTGAGTTTGCAAGAGGGAGAACACACCCTAGGTGCGCCCACTTCATTTGTCCAATAGCCTCTATCTTGTATATATTCATACTACTGATACTAAATGTTCTCTGCACCTCTATTCGTGCTTTACAGCCCCGCGACAACTTCTGCGACAGTCATACTCACTTGCGCGGGAATCGAATATCATAATGGAGAAAAAAGCCGGTCCCTAGTGGACCGCCCTCGTGCGGTTCCAGCAGGAGAGATCTTGTCTCGCGGGCTACGTATGATCCTTGCACCCGCGGGAGAACAATTTCGGAGTCTTCGCAAGTTGCGTTGATATCTTCTTTGCCGAACTGTTTTACTGAAGTTGTTTCACCCAGAGCAGCACACTCGTCTTCAAGTGAAGGCTGCAGAATCCTATGTGCTTATCCAGATTGGCGCCACCCGTGATGGTATCCTTGACATCCTTGATAACCCTCAAGGACACCAGGCACCTGCGAACTCGTGTGTGGCACTTCGTGACTTGTTCTATAACCACTCGACACATCCAATACAAGCTACGCTGCCTCTGCCATCTTGCGTGTCACATATGGGAAGTTCATGCCTACCGCCACGAATGAAATCATCATCATTCACAAAATGCTCATGCGACCTGGGGCGCCCCTGATAGAACGCTACCCAATCCTAAAATACGTCCCAGGATACACAACCGAGTTGTAGGAATGGAGAAGAGAAGAGAGTCAGGTCTTTCATGACCAACTCGATCATGTTTCAAGAGAATTGGTTAGTTCCTTCAACTTCGTTCTTAAACGTCACCTGACTCCCAGTTGCGTGTAGGCGACTGGCAGAGTGCAGTACATGCTTGAGAACCAGTCCTTACACGAGCTCGCACGAAAAATGGCTCATCTCTCTGGATCACTCTATGACGCCGGTTCAGACACGACCACTGTGGCGATCATGTATGTCGTTATGGCTTCCGCATATTATCCCAATGCGCAGGAGAGAACGTGCAAGAGCACCTGGATATCGTCGTTGGTCGCGACAGAGGTATGAGAACGCGCATCTGAGTAAACTAATCTCAACTTGGTCGTTACAGCTTCCACGCTCGCCCACGACAACTCACTCCAGCAGATAGAGGCGTCCATGCTGGAGTGTCTTGGTTGGAGGCCTGTAACAACTCTTGGATCTGCTTACTGTGCTTCGGCCGATATCGTTTATGTACGTATCGTCTTTGGCAACTATTGGTATAAAATAATATGGATTCTAGTCAAATGAATGTGCTGATCACCCTCTAAACAGGGCAAGCTCACGCCATCTGAGCGTCTATCCTAACCCTGACAAGTGGATGCAATCGCCAATTTCGCTTGCGCATCCTCGGGCCAACATTACTTTCTCCAGAAGAGAGGAAAGAGAAATGCCTCGTTTTTGTCGTGTGCGGTGGAGTCAAAATTTCTTTCAAAGATATGAGGGAATTTGAAGAGATTGTCGCTGCAGCGAAGAAGCTCAGGCGCCTAAGCAATGATACTGGGAGATAGAAGGGAATATTGATACGTTGACACAATACTGAGAGCCTAGACGAAGTAAATGCATTTCGAAGGAAGTAAGGAGACCTCACAACTACGCACGACTGACTTGTAAATGAGAACTTCAGGCGACACACCGCTACCCAGAACTGCCACCATTTGAACCACTCTTTTGAACTCTGTGCAACTGCCTCCGAGTCCGACTGTGTTTGAAGCTCTTTATTCCCGCTTCATTCGTCGTGCAAGTTTATCCGCCTAAGCAGTGACCCAGTACTTGCATGGCAGTCAATCACGTGACTTTTATTTATTCATTGACGCGTTGCCAACTTCCACTTATCACGTCTACCATAGTCAGACCTCGAGGAAGGAAGACAGCCGTTTTTTTCTTTTCAAAGCTCGTAAGTAGAAACTATCTTAGATTCTCCTGACTCAAGGGCGTTGGCTACAGATTAACATGGCGCAACGAGAGGATGAAGATGTGATTCATAAGCGAGCGGTCCAGCAGAGCGCCCTGCGTTGGTCTCCCCGTCCGAGTACTCCTGAGAACTTTGGCATGGGTAAGATTTAAATCATAATGCAAACCAGAATGTATATGCACTCCGCTCACGCGATTTCTAGACTCAGTCTTCACTGCTGTGATATGCGACCCAACAAAGACCAATTAGAGACTACCGCAGTTACATCGAGACCCCCACGCTGATGTCTCCTATTCGCGCAGCGACGATGCTTGGCTTTGGCTCCGATCGTGTATGGCTCGTGAGGAAGTTGGAAGCATTTTGGCCATCCAATCTTGGAGGGCTGTTCGTCAACCCAGAACCGCGTATCGATGCTCCAGAGGTGGCTGCCCTTGCAAGGACGTGCAACATTGATGCGTTGTTGAAACCTGCATTCTACGACATGGCAAGAGCACCTGTATTCAGTCTGGACAGGCTGGACAAGTCAGAACAGTCAGCCGTGCGGATGTATTGCGCCTTGTCCAGATGAGAGAGTATCTGAGTGGCATGTGGTCTCAGGTGGCTGCACACGAGGATCCTACATTTATTTGCCAAAACTTTCGGGATGCACCATCCAGCAATGGAGAAGGACCTGCAGGTCTATTGGAAGATGCCGACGAGAATTCTGCACTTTGCCCTATCGCCTCCGCTAGTATGGTTAACAAGTGCCTCTCTGCGACAGCACGATGCGAGGCGTGGGTTTGGCTTGTGCACCACTCAGACATTTTCGCCCGGTATCGGTATGACCCATTACGCGGACTAACAGCGTTGACAAACATCGCGTGGACAGACGACTGGTGCAAGGATCGCAAGAAGAAAAGGAAGGGTGATTGGCACAAAATGCAGGGAAGAGTCTGGGAGACGGTTGGCGAATACATGAGGGAAGACTCACGAGTGGGTGCTGCAGTAAGTAACCTTGCTTGCTAAGTGTCCTGCACTCCCCATGATTCAAAATTTCACTCAGATAAGAAGCATTCCCCGCCGTTTGTCTTGCTAGAGTTGCGCTGCAGTCCACCAACTCTGTACTGGAACACATCAGAATAGAAAGGATTTAGGACCAGTGTTCATTTGTGTAAAGGCAGGCCAGGACTGTCTGTTGTACAGGTCCAGGAAGTGAGTATACAGTTTCATTAGGCTTCGTTGTCGTTCACACTGGCATGACCTGAATTCGTCCCCAGCGTTTCAAACTTTTTGGTACAGCCCAGTTGATATTGATCCATCATTCAATATTCGCGCATCGAACCACTTACGTTACTTGTGCTCTTTCAGCACCCCCTTGCATCACACTAGCCATGCTACTGTTAGATGTAAGTACTATATGTATTGCTTCGCTTGGGTGATCTAGCTACTCCAGGCGGGTTTTCCAGACTCGGAGCATCTGGGCTCTACTCACTGGTGTATGTTGCTAGTTAAATTAAACTTCGTGAACATCGGTGCACGCAGAGATCACTCCTGAAACGATTACGTGACTTATATAAAATTACGCGTTGAACATTTTTGGTAGAACTAGTATTCTTCATTCTCTTTTTCAAGGGTGTATGGTTGCTTAACCATCCTTTCCAGACCTACAGGACAATCAGGGCCGCAGAATGAATATGGCGCTGCAACCAGGGGATGAGGATGTATATGAAGATGTATACGAAGTCCAGCAGAAGCCTCGAGGAATGCGTCCCAGCATCGATAGGGTTCCATGTCCGAGAAGGTCCGGAGCAGGTAAGACTTGATAATCCTCCTGCATGATATGTGCCTCGCTCATACGACGTCCAGCCTTGGTCCCCGCCGCTTCATGCGACCCAGTAAAGAGCATAGGGTGCAAGCGCCAGCTTACCCCGGAGCCTGAACCCAGAAACCAAACGGCTAAACGCGCACGAGCCGGTAACCGTGCTGCTCGCAAGCATGAGCGGTTTTGGCTCGCAGACGGAAATACCATCATCGAACTCGATGGTATACGCTTCAGGGTGCATCAATCATGGCTCGCACGGCATTCAGAACACCTGGCAAGCATACTCCTCGAGACAGGACATGAAGGCAAACCTGAAGATAGAATAATTGAATTTAAAAGAAGTGAATTGCGACTCATCCTCAATCCAGTAGATTTTGAGGCGCTGCTCTTGCTTTATGAAAATCCAGGGTAAGTATCTACTCATATCTGGATCTTGTTTTGGCTGGCTAACAAGTAGGTTAGGAATTACCGCAATGCCATTGAGCCTCCCATACTAATGTCCCTCATCCGTGCAACGACGTTGCTTGGTTTTGACTCTGACCGTGTATGGCTCGTGAAGGAGTTGGAAGCGCTCTGGCCCTCTAACCTAGAAGAGCTGGTTGCTAACCCAGAACCGCACCTCAATGCTCCGGAGGTAGCTGTCCTCGCACGGATGTGCAACATTGATGGGTTGTTGAAGCCTGCATTCTACGATATGGCAAGGATGCCTGGGTTCGGTCTGGACAAGTTTGAGGAATCAGAGCAAATTGGCCGTGTGGATATGTTGCGTCTTATACGGATAAGAGAGTATCTGAGTGACATGTGGGTTCGGGCAGCTGCGCACGAGGATCCTGCCTTCGTTTGCCAAAACCTCTGTGATGCGCCATCCAGTGATGGTGAAGGAACCTCGACTCCTAACCAAGTTGACGAGAAGCCTGCACTCAACTCTAATACCTCTGCTAGTGTGGCTAGCACATGCCTCTTGGTCACCGCAAGACGCGAGGCGTGGGTCCGGCTGGTGTACGACTCAGGGATTTTCACACTGTATCGGTACGACTCATTGCGCGGACTAGCAGCGTTAATAAACATCGAGTGGACGGACGACTGGTGCAAAGATTGTCAGGAGAAACAGAAGGCGGATTGGCATGTAATGCAGATGAGCATTTGGGAGAAGGTTGGCGAGTATTTGAGGGAAGATTGATGGGTGGATATCGCAGTGAGTTACCTTGCTCCCCGGATTTCTTGCTCCCCCGATGATTTGATTATTCAAGATTCACTAGCATAAGAAGCATCCCCCGCCATTATGTCTCGCTAGAGTCGCGTTGGCACTGACTCTGTACGTCAGAGTAAAAAGAGGTTTTGGACGAATGTTCAATTTCACCACCGATTCTACTGGTCTACGGTGTTGGGCTGCTTACTAATAAGCTCGGGATATTCTGAATCCCCCTATCATAAATGTCTTGCCTTAATCGTGTCTTACCCTACATAGTAGAGATCGCAACTCACACATTTACCTTGACGACAGCATGACCGATGCGAACAAACCCCCGAATCCAGAGATTGTCCATGTCCATGTCACTCATCCAGACCGTGACAATCTTTTCCGCATCGCGGCAACTCCCAGTGATTTGATCAAAAAGAATGTGAAGACTTTCGGCGTACAATGTACACAGTGTCAAAAAACATTGGATAAACTTTTGAAATGCTCAAAGGTGCTGGCGGCTGATATATCTAAACATATCACAAGCACTCATCACATGTTTTTGCAGTGCAAGGGCGTCTGGTATTGCTCAAAAGAGGTAAGATGTGCGAATTGGACAAAACAGAGGAGCTGACGTTACCACTTATGCATCTTTTTGTGATAGTGCCAAAAGAAACATTGGTGAGCGTTCTGTTCACGATAAACACACAGAAACCTCAGTCCAGACCCGGACTCGTACTCCATGATAGGCCCGCTCACAAATCGGCATGTCACGACGTTGAACGCTCCTCAGGAGCCCTCAAATTCGTACGAGTGTTCTGCGCAAACATAACGCTCATGATGTTCCTCAAAGTTGCTATCATTTATGACTGTGGTTTGCTCGACAATCCTCGGCTCGGGTTTGATGTGCCTTTCATGGCCCGTGTTGACATCGCCGTTGAGCCAACTAATATTCTCGATTTTGCGGGACTATATCTCAATAACGGGCCCATTGCGGAGAAGCTTAAAGGAATGGTGCAAGTCAACGCCGTCTCTGCGTGGGATCCAAAAACGCATCCTCCCCTCACGCCAACGCGGCTGCGCTTATGGCGCGAGGCTCGAGCACAATCTATCGCAGCAGGTTACGGCAAAGATCCTGTTGGACTCATCGAGTTCCTCAATTATACAGAAAACTCTACCACCGCTGCGTTTCATATTGCCAGCTCTATCCTTGACATCGCGAGGAGACGGGAGCCCTTCTTATGCTCTTCTGCCATCATGGGCAATCAATTTGAGAAGCCCATGGACTCTGCGACATGTATAGAGTGGGTTCTTTGACCCTATATTGTGACAAATACGGCCCCTTACAATCACCTTGCATAGGTATATCAATTTGCATATTCGAGCTGATGAGCAGAATCAGTTGCTTTTACGGACTGAGATGACAGAGCAAGACAAGGAAGTTATTCGCGCCTCAGGTCGCAACGAGGACTCGCTTCCCGTTTCTCTTCTCAATTTCAAGATGCAAAGAGAACTCCTCTATGCTAACATAGTGAAATTGAGACGCTAGCCAATTACATCCTCAAGTGTGCGTTTTCGCTTTTCAGAGTGCTGAACTCTTTCCGATTATTGCATGTAGACAGCAAACGACTGAATGTGTTCTCGTATAAACAAGGTTGGATTGACTGAATGTTTGCAAATCGTGTTATCATTTGCGTTGTGTGCTTGTAAATTTGGATCTACTAATTAGTTCATACGTCACTTCTAGTGTTACATCTACTGTATCATCAAGTATACTTCCTGAGTAAAAGAAATCGTGTTATAACTGAGTCAAGACTGTCGTCCGCTTAAACTGAAAGGCAGTGATGCTGAAAACTTGTGTTTCAGCAATGATCATGCATCTTGAGGCACGCCCAATCATTTCAAATATTAACAATTTGACCCTCAATTTGAACGCGATCTGTCACAGACTCTATGTCTCAGGTGTCGCGAGGGACTCGATCGAAGTACTTGGCAAGATTGAAGAGCTGAAAAATTCGCCCCCCGGATGTCTTGTTGGCTTAGTCACATGAGACTGACGCTGGCTAAATTAACAGGTGTAAATTTACACCCCTCTATTTGACCGTACACTACTTAGCACACAGCGCTCATCAACTTGAACGTTTCAACATCGACGGGCGCTCAAATCAGTTCTTATCTACCAATGGCTGAGACTATCTGCCCATCTCACCTTCAAGTTGTGAAGAAGGGGGACCGAGAACTAAAGTTCAAAGCCGCAGGGTTACTCTCTCTTTTGAAGAACTCCAGTTTTACATCCTGAGCTTTTTTTCTTGTAGAGATATTCTTCGTTGTACATCTGTGAGTTACAATTCTGTGTTATAAGTTGTTCTAGATGGACTTTTATACTGACGATTTCCTTGCAGGTATGTAAGGCCCTTCGCCAGACGTACAGGTCCTCATCTGAGCTTCAGTACATCGTTGAACTCAGTGGTCAACAATTGCTTCCCGTTTCCAACACGAATAATCACACACCTATTTCCGAGCGCCTACAACTCTTGCGGGACAAAGCCCACGCATGGTTCAAGTTTAACAACCATTCCCTCGAAACAGTCTATATACCGAAGGAACTGTGGAGTTTCTTGGACGCGATAGTCACCAGTGGGCATCTCTGCTTGTGGGAGCAAGGCTTGGCCGCGATCATTCCGATACTACCAAAGTCCCCACAGCAAACAGTCGAGCGGTGGCAAAGGACGTTGAGTTCAGTGATTTCGGTTCCCCACTCAAACAAGCTCGATGTGTTCATGGACCCAGCACAAAACCTAATTGTCGTTGTGTATGTTGTTAACAATACCTTCTACATTGACCTTAGAGCCCTGGATGGTGATGGTATTCACCCGCAAGCTGCTGGATCAAGATTGTCGATGCTGCAGGGATACGAGGAACACCGCTTTGACACGAATTATGCAAAACTCAAGGGTTTTGGAAGGCATATCGCTTTGTGGCGGACGTCCCATTTGTCGACGTGTGGGTTTAAATGTGGCAGATTTGGGACTGGCAACATTCAACGACATCCAATGTGAGCCACGGTTAGAAATATTTGGGAGACTCGACATTTGATTCTCGATTTAATTTCAGTGCTTCCTCAGTTGTAAGCGAGGCAAAATCGATCTTTGTTTCCTCGGAAACAATAGGTTGCTTGTTGTCAACGATGTTTTGAAGCTCTATTCAATCGAGGATATGTCCCAGATGCCACAATTGCTGGCGTGTTTTCTGACACGTGCCCCGTTACGGCCCACATGGTTCCTTCAGACGGAATCGCAGACGCAAGCCCAACAAACGTACACCTCAAACTCCGAACACCAGCTACTATGCATGTCCACGCTTCTGGATGAAACTTGTGAATATCTCGTCTACATTATCTCCACAAGGATTTTCTTCGATCTGGAGGGATTGGCAGTAGCAACGCCAATATCGTGGAATCGCTGGGACCCTTCACATACTCGTTTTTCAGGCACAATAGCAAGTGGAAAGTTCACCTTAGTGGGAATCGAGTTCTGCAGGCATTCTGTGACGGCACGCCGCATATCGGTCCAACACACTATATATTACATATGATGGACTTCAGCCCGCTAGCCGTGACGAACAGGCGAGGTCTAGGACGAGTGGTGAAAGAGCCATCTACGATAGACATCAGTGACTTCACCTTCGACGGTTCTCAGGACAGCTTGATAACTTCCCTGCCTTACGTCGAGGTAGTATGGGACAGGGAGTTCAAAATTGGCGAGTTGGGAGACATATGGATTGACCAGGATAGAATCTATTTGCTCCTCCTAAAGTTCGAATCGCTTTTCAAATACTCGAAGTCATTGATGTTTAGAGCGGTATATTAACTTGTTATGAAGATAGGGTCTTGTTTAGACACGTTTGAAAACTTTACAATACCAAGTTGATCCTGGATCCGGAGTAATGCATGTGCGATAAAGCTCGTTGCCACCCAGCAATGCTTTGCAGATCTGACTACGATCACGTACGTCGTGAATTCACAAACACTGCCACAATGTAGCACGATACAGTCCACAAATCGTCAAAAGCAATCAAACTACTTCATTAGCCATACAGGTCAACCTTCATCTACTCTGTGAACTGCGGCTGCATACTCTACTTACTACATTTCTTGGTATAGAAACTCTACGCAAACAAGGACACCCAAACAGCAGGGTAGCTAAGTACTAATGTTCAACGCGTCGCGGTCTATGGGTACAGACAGGAGACTGAGATAGCAACACAATATGATGTTAAGAGATGGGGAAAAAAAGTGCTACGGTATAGTGGTGCACGTGTTTATGTGCAGGACAAAACAGGAAATGGTTACCGATTATGTGTTGGCTTTGTCGAGGGGGCATTCGCATTCTCCTTGGCGGTGGAGGATGACGGGACGGGAGGTGGAGATAGTATGGGCGCTTGATGCGGTGGTGCCGATTGCCGCTGCACTGTGCCATCATCGCTTCCGTTACCCGCCTCCCCGACCGGCTTCATGGCATCTACCTCATCGGCATCAAGTACAATTTGCTGTGAAGACTTGCGTTTTGCAGCCTCTTCTTCTTCGGCCCGTCGGATGACATCGATCTCGCCCTGCACCGTTATACCGTCGAGCCATGTGTGATGTACAAGCTCAAAGGCTTTTGCACGGCGCTCGGGTTGCAATTGGAGCATCGGGGTGAGGAATGCAGAAATAGCATCAGCTTCGTCCTTAGGGAAGAGGTATTTGTCGTGCAGTACCGCTTCAAGAGGCCAAAACCGGAGCTTGTTGATATGTCGAAGTTCACCTAGAAGTATGATACGGTAAGAGCGTATCGAAGGGTATTTTGGGGAAACTTGCCTTTCCGATTGAAGAACTCCGAACTATACTTTCCTGAAAACGCGACTGATCTCGGGATTTCTCTCAGCAGCTCTATGATCTGAGCGATGTGGTCATCATCTTTGCTGTACCGTGGGCCTGGTGCGGGATCAAAGAGATAGTCTCCCCCGGTAATAAGTTCGAATACCTAAGGCGTGTATGAGCAGCATGCTCTGAACGATGATTGTTGCACATACCAAACACGCAATACTCCACACATCCGCACTAGTCCCCCACTTAGCGCCAAGGATGACCTCCGGGCAACGGTATTGCCGCGTCTGAATATCATCTGTAAAGTGGTGCTCGACCCAGGTAGCTACGAAGATAGAGAGCACCGCCGAAGCGAATGTCAATGAGCAGCCATAAAAACACAATGACAATAATATAAAAAGAAAGGTACCAACCGTTCCCAAGGTCCGCAATTTTAACTGTGATCTTCGCGGTACTCTCGAGCAAGCTAGACGTTGTAGATGTCTCTGCCAGTACCGAATCCATAGACATGACAGAACTGGAAAGCTTTGGATCGACAGCATTAGGTTCCACGGATGCTTTGGAACTCGAAACAGCGTGTGGCTGAGAAGATGTTGTGACTGGGGGATGGGAGGGGGCCATTTGTGTCAGTAGCGAAGGCCCTGGAGGATGGGCAGGGTGAGGTGTTGTTGTCTTGTTGAACCCGGATGGATGAAGTGAGACATTTGAGATACGCTCTGCAGTCACCTCTGTTGAGTCTGCGCGCTTGGAAGATACGTCCATGAGGCCCAACCCTGTTGCTGCAGCAGATCCAGCAGATCCGTCCTTTGCCACCGAACTAGATCCGTAAGATCCGGGCTTGGAGGTGGCCTCGCCATCGATTTTGCTCATACCGAATGCAAGCTTGTCGAACATAGGGCTACTGCCGAACGACGAGGATGGGGACGGTAGGGGCTGAGATCCGGTGATGAAAACGGATTCGGAGCGAGGTGTCTGGTTGCCCCCACGACCTTTGGAAGGCGGTACGCCAACGAGTCGGGTGGGTGGTGATGTGGCATTTGCTGACGCGGCAACCTCATTCTGGATGATAGATTCGACGTCATCGATACTTATAAGAACATTTTCAGGCTTCAGGTCTGTCGGAACATGATCATGGGGCCCAAGGGACAGGGAAAAATAACGGACCGGTGTGAATTATGCCACAGCAACGGTGCATGTAATCCAAACCTAGGAGGACCTGTTTCGCAATCTGCTTGACAAGGTGCATGGGCACGCCCTTGTTTTGATGTCGTTTGATGAGGCCGAGGAGATTTTCACCCAGGACTTCAGAAACCATGCACACGTGAGTGCCGTTGGGACCTTTATGTCGGAAGTGATCCAAGAATGACATAACATGCGATCGACCGGGATGTGTGTGGGCATGGGATGAGGGAGGATTGGGATTATCAGGGGATGGGGCAACAGGAGGAGAGTTAGATGTGATCAAACGTTGAAGTAGTTTGATCTCATCGAGAGCGGTCTCAGTGTACCTCGGCGCGGACTTTACAATTTTGAGTGCGACATGTCGATTCATTCTGATCGGTTAAGAAACGGAAGGTCAGACAAATGGACTGCGCGTGGGGACACAAGTGGTGCCTGCTCACTTTGTGTCTTTGGCGAGCCATACTGTTGAGAAATGGCCCCAACCGAGTTTCCTGACCACAATATACCTGCCGTCTGAAAAAGAGTCACCGATGTGAACAGGATGGTAGCCTCCCTTGACGTAGTCCTCCCAATCTTCTTCGTCTTCGGTCATGATGGATTGGGAGTGAGAAGAATAGGACGCGTGAGACATGGTGAAATTCGGGTATGCTGTAAACGAAAACGATAAGGCAAGTTCTGTCAAAAGAATACATAGTAGGCGATGATAAGACTATGTTTGATAGCAACGGGAGATAAGCACACCTGGAGCGCCTATTTGGGTATACCTTTCGCTATGATCAGTAACAACAAGAAAAATTTGACGATGACAACGACTACGACGACGACGACAACGACAACGATGGCGATGACTGTAAGTCTGAGAGCTGGAATAGAGATCGACCAGCAAATTCGCTTTGCCAATCACATACAAGAATCTATATCAGGTACACGTTGAACAAAAAGACATGTGATTGGCTACCCTGGCTGACTAATACACTTACTCGTGACTGGTTACAGCCTAACCGAAAATGCTCAATAGCTACGAAAACTTTGGTATCCGGTCAGGAGATGCATTGAGGCTATAATTGACATCACGGACCCAGACGTTCTTGCCAAACAACCAGCACCATGCAACCATACGCTAGGTCGGCTCTTTCAGTAAATGGGTTGTGCAGACAGAGGCAGGTAGTCCAAATCTCCGCCTTTTCTCCAATGACCTGCTTGAAGGAGTAAACTAATACGTTTCCCCCGCACGCATCCATAGGTTACACGTCATAATTACTACAGGCATTCATCTGCCTCATGTAATCACAATGGGCACCAACGTTGTATCAATGACCTCTGCCGTCAAAACACGTTTCGTGTAGCCCACGAGATCGTGTTCTCGAAACCAGATTAACCATCTTGGTATGTCTCGGCCTTCTGTTACCTCTTCAGGACTTCCATGAATAGCATTGCATGCCTTAAACACGTGTACAAGTCATGACTTTTCCTGTCGGTCCCTGCCACTTCTAGGTCACATACCCCAGCTTTCATAATCTTCATCCATTAATTGATGCTTACGCCCTCCTTCATCCGGTTCGGATTACACGAGGCAGCGCCTTCCAACCTGTGCTATTTATCCTTTAACTTCGCTGATCCTACGTTTTCACTCCACAGCTTATCAGCATCCTTTCAGGTGCTCGATCGTACCTATACTATCATCACTGTCCATGAGTCCTTTCGACGACCTTGATGATGAACAAAGGTATGTTACAACCAGATATCATATGTCCCTCTCATCTCTCGTAGGATCAGCATCGCTAATGAACACCCCAACGATCTCGAGTCTGGGCCATCCTCTCCGTCCTCGCCACCCAGCTACCTTCGTCCTCGTCGTCAGAGTAAATCAAATTCCCGCCATCGGTCACAGCATACCACCACAGACGGAGGCTCAAGCAGCCACCTCCTCGCCCGTCTCATCGCTCGCGACGATGAGGTCCGCGAAATCAATGCCCTCCTCGTCGTCACTTCAGAACGTCTCGAGACCGAGTCTAACCGGGCCAACAGCTCAGAGCGCCGTGCGCTCGAATACTTCAACCGATTGCGTCAGGCAACCGAAAATCGTGAGCGCGCTGAACAAGATTTGGCTCGTCTTCGCGAGGAGTTGAAGCTGTACAAGCTCCAGCTCGAAAATGCACAAAAGGAGATTTTTCGGGCACAGGATATCATTAATCAGGTTTCTGCTCAGAAGTGTGAAGCTGAGGCGGATGCTGCGAGAGCCAGAACCAAGGCAAGGAAGCTGCAGGAAGAGAAGATGATGATGATTGCCCACGAGGATGGCAGGCGGCGTGGTTACAAGGAGGGCCTGACAATCGGACGTCGGCTCGGCTTCGACGAAGGAACCACGATAAGATATGATGATGAACCGGCCCGACGAGTGCATCGGCCTGCCGTCCAACCAGATGAAAGAGACCAAGAAGAGGAAGAAGAATCAGTGCACTCCGAACGCAATCATGCACGCTCACAACCACGGGCACACCCGCAGTCCTCAAGACAGTACGTAACAATATACACATGTGCAATTGTGCTCATTTTCTATTGACAGCGTACGCCCGGAGTCTCCCCCACCTGTTGGGCAGTATGGTACAGCGCCACATGCAGTTGCTGTTATACCGGTTCCACCACCGCAAGTAACCCCAGTCCGGTCACATTCTCCTCCAGGAAGAATCACGACGCCCTCGCCGCCAACAAGTCCTCCAACGGAGAACGTTCACCCCACGCAAATACGCACAGCATCTAGCCACTTAACCGATGTTCCTCGAGATGGTTGGATACCACGAGCGGACCCACAGACATCTTACATCCCAGTCCCACCACCATACGGACTTTCTCAGCCCGTGCCCCGAAGCTCCAGCACACACTCGCACGACTTAGACAACCACTCACGTTACGGTCCTTCGTATGATGCCGGGGACTCAAACTACGCTCTTGTGAGAACTCGCGATTTTGCATATGCGCAACCTGCCCCAATTCCGGTCCCAAGTTTACATACTCCATCTCTCATGTCACGGTCAACGTCGACGCATATGTCTCAATACGAGCTTGTGAGCGCCCCTGTCGAACGACATGGAACCTCACTTCGTCACGATGTATCTCCTGCGCACACAAGGAGTGAAAGCCGTACTGAACGACATACGTCGTCGCGCGGTGGATATCACCCCGACAAAAGTCGGAAGGAGGATTTGATAGAACAATGGCGTGCAGACCCAGAAGTTGTTGCTACAGCAACTCCTGGAACGGCCATAAGAGATTTTGTGCGATTTCTTAACCAATATTGAAATGTCAGAGCACTAATTTTATCCTCGTTTAGCAGCCCATGCCACCTACTGGACATCATCGTCCCAGGGAGTCAAACATACCCGCCCCATATACTGATTCACGTCCTTCGAGTCGAGTAGAGTCACAACCATCGCAAGGCCCTTCCCAGAAACGGAGTCCACCACGATCAAGAAATCCACTCGACTACTTCAACATCAGACAACGTTTCCACCAGCGAACACAATCGGCCGCCAGCGTTCCAAATATAACTGTTGAACCCCCGGTATGTGTTCCGATATGAAATGCATATTCTGTTTACATGTTCTACAGTCTGATGAGGCTTCGACTCCATCCGAGCATACCCATCATTCACACCTCGAACTTCTAAGTCCAGACACCGCACTTCGGCCCCTTCCCCCGTCCCACGAAGAACGCTCCCGGACATCCGAAAGACACTCACAAGACTCCCACGGCGCCTACCACTCGGCTGCACCCACGCAGCCTTCATGGCCAGCAGGGTTCGTGCCCGTTTCAGGGGCACCACCCGAACCAGCCTCTCAATATCCTCGCTCAAGAAGTCGAGGATCTGATGAACATTACCAGATGTCGCCTATTCCTGAGGGTATCACATACCCTGAATCGCCGCTGCGTGCTCCGTCGTCTCATGGAGATCGTCTCCCGCAAGAATCTGAGTCTGAATCGAGCTCGCCGGCACCTCTGCAGAGACCGATATCACTTTTCTCTGACCAGGATGAGTGAACAATGAATATTCTGCTATTTTTTGTATTTGTAGATTTTTGATTTTAACACATTCGCGCACTGTCCTTACACTACTGTTACGTTATGAAACTTGTCTTTCTTTCCAAGCCGGTGACTTTTAGATGCATGCAGTCGTCCTTGCGTACAGCTTTGATCATCGGTAACTACCATTAAATTATGATAGGGGTTCTGGCTGATGACTCGCCGGTAACTCACATCAAGCTTCAAGACCCTTCGATGTCAAGCAGTGCTACTGATCGATGATCTACGAAGACGACTGATCGAGATAGAGAGGAATAGAGTGCTTAGACATGCCGCAGTCGAAACTTTGGTTGTCTTATTAGTAAGCCGTCGTTTCATACTTGGTGGCACTGACTTTTCATTTCGAACTCTTCCAACACACGAAGGCCCTTGCAGCGTGCTAATCATGATGCTATACTCACCCTAATTTACGGAACACTGTTCTGTCTGATCCGTAAATGTTTGACCTGAGTCAACCATTCAATTCCAAACAGAACAACAGTAATACGTACACATCCCTCAGTTCAGAACAACTTCGACATTCGCGAAAAGCCCTCATTCAGACTCGATTTAGATTCATCCGAATTCGCACCAGAACTTGTACCTGTCGATAATGGGATCTTGCAGGTATAGGCCATGCCGCGGGTGAACTTATTGGAGATTCATCATATAGGAGCAGCTGGCTGCGGGTATGGACCCTGCACCCGAGAAGCAAGGAATGTTTTTTATAACGGTGGTTTGCGTACGCTCTGCGTTGCTTACAGAATAATTACTTTTACTCCAGGAGGATAGGTTCTTGCAGTGGCTGCTCGAGTCACTCTTAATAACGCTATTGAAATTGCGGAGTCACGGTGCCCGTTGCATGCGATAGCGCTCAGGAGCTATAGCAATGAAGGACAGCATATTGCAGGAACCCCCTATTCCAGAAGCCATTGCGATGCGTCATCGTGCTGGAATCGAGCTCTGGATACTCTCCGGATTCTCACAGGATAAGCTGCGGGCGAATCGAGATTGATGAGTGTTTTTCTCTCTCTTTTGTTCCATGCCTTCTGGATCTTATTATGGCCCAAGGTTCACTCCTGAAGCAAGATATGGAATTCATAATTCTATCTGCTGATACTCCTGAAGGTATTGGCAATTGCTGCGGGTCCCACGTCGATTCTGGGCTCCACTTGCCTCGGAAACAGTGAAACGCGGGTTTGTCCTTGGCGCTAATTTTTCTGCGGTTCGTTCAGCTTCAGAATTTTTCTGTAGCAAGTTCACGAACAGAAAGTACCCTACATGATCCCCACCCGCAAGTTCTGAAGTCAGTGAAAGACCTATTGGCATCATAGATACAATTCTTATTACTCGGCGTCCGATATGTGCATGAACAGTGTTGAGAGCGTCCGTGCAAGACTGTTTTTGTAGTTCAACGTTGCACTGGTAACGCGTTTGCAACCTGGAACCGTGTGCACTAGTCCCCCCTCAACAGATTATGGACGAATGAAGATATCGTTTCTTCTTACTATGATCGTGCATGTTCATCTATTGTTTTCTCGGTTTTATACAAACAACGTTCTCTTCAACAGCTATCCCACGACGCTTTGACCAGTGCAGTCGATTGTCATTGCATTGAATCCATGCTCGGACACTTGGTAGCTGGCATAGAACTCTTTGGCTGCGGGGGCGGCCAAAAGTGCTGAGTGAAACAAGTCTTCAGTATCTCCTCCTAAAATTATTCCTCATGGACAGTAAGGCTTTCACATTTTTGTGTGGGCAGCTATGTGCTTATCTTTATTTCGGCGATACTGCAGCGCACACCGTACTGTGAGTGCCCTGCATTCAACCAAAGATACCATTGTACAGTAGTGGGCAATAGCCACACTGCTACTGTGGAACTATTTCTTATGTCAGTCAACAGAGCAGCCGATCAATAGCGCCATGGCCTCCACAAGTGGATGCCCACACAAACAAAACACTAGAAGACCTGTGGGTCTGTGGACTCTTGTACGATGAGTTATATAAAAAGGATCGTGAAAATTGTTGAGTATCACCAACGACCCTGAATCATGCATCGCGCTCTTGCAGTCGGCGATATCGTTCACAACATACTACAACATGTCAAGTCCTCCGGCACAGACCTGATAAACGTAGCAGTGACCTGCTCTACGTTATCAGATCCCGCCCTCAATATACTATGGCTTGAACAGTCAAGTTTAGGACCCCTTGTGATGTGTCTGCCGCAAGACACCTGGGAGGTCACGGAGAATCGCACTATTGTGGGTGATGTCTGCCATTTCAGTCTTAATAAAATGATGCTCACCGTACTCCAATTTGTAGAAACTTTCTCGCGTGCCGCAACTCACGGAGTGGGAGCGTGTCAGAACCAATGCGTCAAGGATACGCAGGATTATTTCCGAGAGGCGCAACCATGTTTACGTTCCCCCGAGACCAAGTGCCCCGGTCCTACGGCAACTATTCGCGCTGTTTCCGCCTGCCATACTCTTCCCCAAATTATGTGCAATGCATTTCGATGCGGTGTCTCACCTGCCGGAGATTCATTCAGACTTCTTGCTACTTCGCCAGTTCTTCTTGCCCAGATTGGAAACCCTGGCATTTAACGTACCGTCAAGAGTCCCCACGTATGAGGTAGAGCAATTGATCAGTGCTCTTCCCGCGGAAGCGTCCGGCCTGCGGCAACTGTCGATAATGTCGTCTCAGGGTCTTTCGGCCTGTCGTTCTGTAATGCCAAAGTTACTTGAAGTTAATTCGACTGTCTATGCGCGGAATCGACATGGGCCTGATGAGGCAGAACCTTGCCAATATCCAGCATTCGCGCTGTCTCCAAAGCCTGACACTTTCTTTGAACGGACTATCTGATATGGAAAACAAACCATCAGATATGCCACTCGAATTAAGTGCCCTCAAACGTCTCTTTCTCCGTAGCCCTCGCTTGCAAAATTGCACATCCTTCCTTCTTCAAATTGCCACCCCACAATTATCAACCATCGAGATCGGCACACACCGCACAGCTGCTACCCCAGAAGAAATCACCGCGCTCATTGAATCCCTATCCACGTCTTGCCAAACATTCGGATATCTGGAAAAGATCTCTGTGGTCGACTATTCGCCCGGCCAGTGGTGGGAACATGAATCTCAAAGCGAACTCTATTCCCGTATTTTCCGGCCTTTGCTCCAGTTTCGAAGGCTATCGACTGTCGAGTTTGTTGACACTGGGAAATTCCGCCTTAACGACTCGTTTATCGAGGATGCTGCAGTTGCTTGGCCGTATCTTCGTGTACTGAAGTTCGCCTCGGAGAAAGTTAGCGATTGCGATGTCACCTTTACCGCAATGCTTTCATTGGCGTCAAAGTGCAAGTTGCTGCATTGCCTACACTTAACGTTCGATGCCACATATTTTCCGATACTTCCCCATGCGCAGGATGGGAATCGGGAACTTTGGACCACGCAAACAGCCCTCAGCGAGCTGCATGTCGGACGCTCGAAGGTGTCGCCAGCGTCGCAATTTCACCTCTTCCTAGCTGTGGTGTTTCCAAACCTAGTTGATCTCTCTCGATCTTATACGGCGTATCGTTTGGCCGATGGTATTGCATGGCGCCAATTAAAAGAAGCAGTGGGAACAACTGGCGATCTATCTGGAGACGTTCCCAGAAATGGCAACCTCCTGGCAAAGCTCCCTACTGCAGCCACAGCCTTAGTTGGAAGGGGGGACCAAGCGGGGGATGAGGAATTGGAGGGGGAAGATAATGATGAATTTCTGTGAGGATCTCAGTGTAACCTGGTGGAAGCTCTACATGTTATGTTATATACTCTGTATGCTTATGTTTCTAGTATTGGTGTGTGCCTGAAAGTAGCACACGTGAATAAATGTAAATTATGTTGTGTTTGCTGTGTATATGTCTGATGACTACTTTGAATTAAGTCCTATCGTTTCACCGGGCTTATACTGAGGGCTATAGAACGCCATGGTATATATACTCAGGGGCTTTGGCGTGTACGGACGCACCTGCTGTCAAAACTGACCCTGCCATCAGAATAGTGATACGTAAGCACGGGAAGTGTGAATCTCCGTGAGTCAGTGATACACGATCAGGAGTTCAGGGTTTCAGCCAGCCTATAGTTCGAGGAGTATCCGTCGAACGATTAAATTTGAGACGAACGCAAGGGCAAAGGGCCAGAACGAACGCAGCATAGAAAACAATATAGTACAGTACAAGCTCCGCAGAATACATCTGATACGTGGGTATACACTTACAAATACAACCTACTTTGTGCACCCATGAATACAAACCACTTCCGAAATGATGTAGCTGTTCGAGAATCCCTCAGTGGTGTCGCGCTCGATCTGTTTCATTCTTTTTTCGTCTCGGGTACCGATTCTGCCCCCTTGACGCTCTGCACCAACGATCTACCCAAAGACATCGCCCCAGATGCCCGATTCACACGGCCTCGCAGCCCAGTAGTCAATACAGTCCGCGCGCCGCCACACCCACCCCGGGTGGAGCTGAACAGTGCGAAGTCTTGGACAAGTACGATTCCATGCGATCTACGCGCAGACGCACATGATTAGCGCCATAAAAACCACGATCAAATTATAGCACGGCAGACGTACGATAAGTTCGCGAGTGTAATCGTCAAATGGCTCCGACGTTCGGGGTTCTTCAGGACTCAGGATTAGACATGTGTTTAGACTGGAAATGTAATCTAGGGGAGTTACCTTGTTCGTCCATGAAGTCTACGCTGACGTCTTGAGAGAAAGGCAGCTTGCTGGAGGCTACGAACAACATCCATCAGCGTGCCGGTGACCGAATCGATGTCATGCATGCTCTCGAAGTAAGTATCGCCGATGCCAGGGGCGCCATATACGGTGTCGTCATCACGCTTCCTCGCCTCGGAGACACTTTGAGGGGACGGGAGAAGAGGGATGCAGAAGATGTGTACGGATAAGAGGTGTGGAAGAGCGTACAGTGTACGCGAACCCATACCGAGTATAGTATCCTGAAAATGAGGGCAAGTGTCGGGGATGGAGAAAGGAAATGAGAGAAATGCAACGCACCTCGCTTGGCGCTCCTCTTGCATACCTGACTTGTAATTTGGTTAAATTGGGAAAGCGCGCGACGATGGCCAGCACAACTTCGTCGTCCCAGTCCCCCACGAACAGGGAGAGCTCTTGCACCCTCGACAAGTGAGAGTGCACTTCTATAAATGCTTGGTAGAGTGGTGCGAGCACGACCTCGTCGCGAATATCGAGCTTGATGATTCTGCGTCCGGAACAAATAGAAGAGATGGCAGATAGGGGGCAGAAAAAGCACAGAGGGCTGGAAGAGCAGTTGGTGACAGTGAAAAGGCGGGAATGTGGTTTCGCAAGATGAGAGTGCGGAGAGAAGGAAGAGTCTCGAGGAACGAGATGAAGCCCGGCGGAGCTCTTGGACGGTCTTTATGATGGGGAACTTGACGTCGAGAGCAGTGAGCGGGGGAGGTGGGAAGGAAGATGTGAAAATGCGATGTAACCAGACAGTGTGGTCATATGTGAGGGTGCGGATGGTGGGGACTCTTGCAAGCATTCGTAGACGGGTACGGGGATTCCGAGGGTTAGTGTCGTCGTCATTAGAGGGGAATACAGCGCGAATATCAAGGAGGGTGAGGGATTGAAGTTTCAGAGAAGTGTGGTCAACATCTGTATAGACACCAGCGAAGTGAACGGTGCAGTGCACAACTGCTAAATCACGCAAGTGCGGAAGGTCACGCAAAATGGAGTGTAAATCTCGCGGGAGAAGCATACCGCGGAAGACGAGCTGTCTGAGAGAGGTGAAGGACGCGACTTGAGTGAGGAGATTATCATAGACAGCAGCGTCCGCAAGGAAGCGTGGTTGATAGGCATCCTTTATGTGGTAGAAGCGATACCTGTTTGTTTGCCGGTTGAGGGGAATAGGCGTCCAGTCGTCAGCTTCCGCCAAGGAAACGATAGCGACAGCTTCTTTTAGTTGCTCTACGGTGCGTTCTACGAGGGGGGATATACCAAGAAGAAGAGCGCGAGGTGAGGGCTGAAGAGACGACAACGCTGAGTGCGCCATTACAAACGATGTCGGGGATGTCAGGATTAGATGCTTGTAGAGAAGACGAATGGCGATTACATGAAAGCTCTTCGAGGTCAGGACAACGTTACGAAGCGACTGTGAAGGCAGATACTCGAAAATTGAAAGCCAGAGTTCATTTGGAAGCGTCATTGAATAGATGACCGTTGACGAAGATGCAGCTATAGCCTATAGGCAAAATCTTCATGCACGATCTCAAGAATTTAGCAAGTTACAAGGTCCGTTCTTCTGTTACGTATCACGTGATTGACCAATGTTTCGGATTTGGAAGACTGTTAGCGCCGAGACAGTCGAGACGCGCGTTTGACGAGTGAAATCCAAGTTTGATGGCAATCTGAATAGATCCAAGAAGAAGGTCTTGACGGAGTATATAGATGAGACTTTTAGAGACGGGCAGCACTTATATATACCTAAGGGTTATCAAGAGATGGTCAAACGATAAAGGCTGAAGCAAACTACTGGTCAAAATACAAGCAAATACATATTACCTGTTGCAAATTTGATTTGTTACGAGTCGTCTCTATCACGAGAGCGCACCAAGTGTACAACGTCCTCATACTTTCGTTCATTTATGTTCCGCCCAGGGGGTGTGACAGCACAATCCTATCCAGCTCATGGTGGGGGCTTGGACCTGAGCTTGCTACGGAGGCGCAGGGTCACATTTCACTTAGTATCAAGGCGGATGGTCTGCAAGACCTTTGCCTCACCGTCACGATTTTCTCTAGCAAGGCCCACTGTGCAAACGTTGTTGCTCATCTGTCCGTGGAATCTTCGTGATCTCGGGTCGCTTGACTTGTCCGGCGAGTCTTCCAGAGAAAAGGAGACGGTTTGGACTATCAGACGCGACCGACCGTTCGCCTGGCACAGCCTTTTGACATACTTTCCCTAGCCCAGCGGTGTGGCTGAGAGTACAAAAGTGTCACTGAACATTACTATCAGTGCAAGAATCAAGGACGTAGCTTCTGACATGTATGATGGATGTAAGGATACTTCAGGTATTGTCACGGTAGTGGTAAGGACTTCTGATGCATTTTCATTTATATCTTGACAGTAGCGCTGGTGGGCATTATATCACGCATATATATGCTGACTCACAACAGGAGAGCGAGCCATTACAAATGTACCACCGAATTGTTACTATGTAAGGGAGCCAGCTGAGAAGGCGTTGTTGTATTAGTCACGGTGCGTCAATTGTGCTCCGCCTGACTTCCACGCGCAACAGGCTATCTCTCAGGCTTCACTAGTTCACTAGTCACTAGTCACTTGACGCTCAATTTGACGCTCGACTGGGCGGTTGTGCACTAGGTGAGCACGAATGCCAATGGCCAGGACAGCTTTAGTGTCTATGTTGAGATTATCATCTCGTCATCTTGTCCCGCGCCTGCGTGAGTCCGGTGGGAAATCTCTTCCGTGGCTGCATTGGCGTTCATTGATACATACCATCGCTTATCGAATTGATCAGTCCTAGGGCTCGCAAAAACTATGACGAATCCGGTCCACTCCCTTGGCGGCCACATGGTGTGGACTTTGCTCTCAAACTACTTCCTTGACCAAGCTTATAAGTACACCACGAGTTCCAACGCAAGGCATGTAGTAAGGAGCTAGAATTAAGCAAAATGAAATAACCAATACCGTAGATGTACAGATGAGTGAATCATACGCAAAATATCAATAACATTGAACCTACATAGAAAATGTATAATTTACAATATTCACGACACAAACTGATGAGTTACACGCCGTGTCACGGTGGATGGCCATGTTAGCGCCGAAATAGACGCCAAGTTCGACTTGTTTCCCTATTTTCATTCATTCATTCCCCATACCCTTTTCGTCTCGATTGCCAGTTCCGCCCCCGCCTAATAATCTCCTAGTGACGTCTCCGTAATTGTCGTTGGGGACAGGGGTATCATATCCAGTCAGTGTCAGGTGCTTTTGATTCAGCATTTTTTGACATCTGCGAGTGACCTTGCGTCACAAGGTGGCGACTCGAAAACATCACCAAAAATGCCTGATTCGCACGGCCTCGCAACCCAGAAGTCAGTAGGATCCATACGCCGCCACACCCACCCCGGGTGCAGCTGAACAGCGCGAAGTCCAGGACAAGCACGGTTCCAAGCGATCTACGTGCAAAGATGGACATGATCAGAAAATCCAAAACACGATCCGGATACAACATAGCAGACGTACGACAAGTTCGCGAGTGTAATCGTCAAACGGCTCTGTCTTCGACACTTGAGGCTCCTCGAACCCTGGGCTCAAAGTTGTGATTATAGTCCAAATATCAATAGATTGATCGAAACGCTTCTGTTGCTCGGCAAGCCGTGCACTCTCGGCACAGCGACCCGACGGGAATCCCGTGGCAGCAATGCACGATCACGGTGTCAAGTGCCTATGTCCATGCCCACGTCCAAGTCCATGTCTATGTCTTGATAGATGGCAGGAAGTGTATTGTGAGAGTTGCGAGCGCGGCACCGGTAGGGTATGCTATAATCATCGTCGCTGTTATCCTGCTCCAGGCTGGTATCTGTGTCCAGATCGATGTCATGCATGCTCTGGAAATAAGTATCGTCGATACCAGGAGCGCCATATGCGGTGTCATCATCAAGGTTGTTCGTCTCGAGGAAATTTTGAGGAAGTGGGGGCAGAGGGATGCAGAAGATGTGCACAGACACAAGATGTGGAAGAGCGTACAATGTACGTGAACCCATTCCGATGATGGTGTCCTGGAAATGAGGGTCGGCGTCGGCAAGGGAAACAGAAAACGAGGGAGATATAACGCACCTCACTTGGCCCTCCCCTAGCATACCTGATTTGTAACTTGGTCAAATTGGGGAAATGTACGACGATGGCCAGCATGAGCTCGTCGTCCCAGTCCCCTACGAACAGGGAGAGCTCTTGCACCGTCGACAAGTCAGAGTGCACTTCTGCAAATGCCTTGTAAAGTGGCGTAAGCACAGCCTCATCTCGGATGTCGAGTTTGACAATGCTACGGCCGGAACAGAGAGAAGTGATGGCAGAGAAAGGGGCAGAAATGGCACAGAGAGCCGGAAGAGCGCTTGATGACAATGAGAGTGCGGGTACGTGGTTTCGCAGGATGAGAGTCTGGAGAGATGGAAGAGTCTCGAGGAACGGGATGAAGCCCATTGGAACTCTGGGACGGTCTTTCTGGACAGGGAACTTGACGTCGAGGGCAGTGAGCGGGGGAGATGGGGAAGAAGATGTGAAAATGCGGTGTACCCAGACGGTATGATCATATGTGAGAGTGCGGAGGGTGGAGGCTTTTGCAAGCAAGCGTAGATGGGTACGGGGAAGATTCATGTCGTCATCGTCGGATCGAGAAGTAGCGCGAATGTCAAGGAGGGTAAGAGTTTCGATGTTTAGGGAAGTGTGGTCAATATCTGGAGGGGCACGAACGAAGGGAACGGTGCAGTGCACAACCGCTAAATCATGCAAGTGTGGAAAGTCGTGTACGATAGAGTGGAAATTGCCTGGGAGAATCATACCGCGGAAGACGAGCTGTCTGAGAGATGTAAATGAAGTCACTTGTGAGAGGAGAGTGTTATAGAGGGCGGTATCCGCAACCAGGCTTGGTTGGTAGGCATCCTTGATTCAGAGAAAAGAGACCTGGTTGATTGGCGATTGTTATTAGCGTTGACAGTAATTGGCTTCAACCCGTCAAAGGAAACAACAGCGACAGCTTCTTGTAGTTGCTCTACGGTGCGTACGAACGGGGAAATACTCAGCAGAAGAGCGTGTGGTGAAGGTTGGATGGAAGATAGAGCGGAGCGGGCCGTTACAAACGATGTCGGGGACGTCAGAATCAGATGCTTGTAAAGAAGACGGATGGCGACTGCATGAAATTTCTTCGACGTCAAGACAACGTTACGAAGCGACCGTGGAGGCAGATATTCAAAAATTGGAAGCCAGAGTTCATTTGGAAGCGTCATCGACGAAGTCACTTTCGACGAAGACGCAGCTGTCGACATTGAGGATGACATCCTTATGCACGATCCAAACCGCAGGTTACGAGAATCAATTAATCATTGCAAGCTCCTTTATAGCTTCACGTCAGATGCACACCAAATAAAGGCACACACTTTTTATCTTCCGTATCAATATTAATGTGTACCATACCACGTAGTAAGTGAACTGCGTGCAATAGTCATGTGTAACGTATCGACAAGGACAAACTAAGCAAGCGAATCCGAGTGTAGGGTATCAAAATGAATCTTGCTTGATCATATCAACCAACTGTTTTGCGACTTCTTTAGATATCCCACAACGCTTCGTGAGATGAGGGACAAGATCCTTGCTTCTAATATGCAAACCCCCTCCAAGTAGCTCCTTCAGCTTGCGCATGAACGAGACAAACAAGTTATCCCCTCCTATCCATGCTTGCCTCTGCCCGTTGGCAATATAGGTCTTGACAAGTTCGCGGATCGTGACGCGCGATTGTTCATAAAGAATTTGTGTCTGCCTTCCAGATAGTTGGCGGCCATGATGCACACGTGACCAGCTAACATTGATCTGATGTTTGTTAAGGTGGGCATGTTCTCGATCCCACCAGTCCTCCAACCTCTGCTCTCTCTCGAGTTCGTAATCACAAGAACAATGGGAACCTTCTTCTCGCACAGGAATTCGTGAAAGAGTCGGTAATTGCTCTGAAGCATACCAGAGATTCTGCTGGCGCGCATGCAGAACAAAAGCAAATAAGTGCCGCCTTCCGATTCCAACTTCTTGATAAGCCGATAGGCGCTCTAGACGGACTCCAGATACTCTTTTATTCCAAGCTGCGGTTCCTCGAGTCCAACGGTATCGAAAACATTACAGGACACGTCGAATTCGTTGGGATATTCTTACCACTGCAGCGTGCAGCGTTGCATGCCAGGAGATGTGTGCTATATCCTTTCCTGCCATGAGGTTGACGACGGAGCTTTTGCCTGCGCCCGCCTGCCCACAGAGTACGTTATTTTTATAGTCTTCCTAATTCATTGATGTTTAGCAACATACGGAGCAACACTTATCTGGGGACTGAGTACGTACCTTGCGAGAGGATTAGTAGCTACTCCGGGTGTCCAAATATTCTGCGGGAAACACTGTTCGATGAGGTTGCAGACGGCACAGTATGACTGTTCGTGGCGTCGCCTGAGCTCATCTGTGTCAGCTTGATCGATGGTCACTGCGGTAATACACGCGTGGCCGGCAAAGTTCATCCCGAGGTCTAAGATGGATGTCTCGTTCTTCCTTCACCAATCTTCCATTTCTGGTTCTCGGTCTTCTAGAGCTGTGACGACAAGGACAATGAGCGCTTTCCCCCTCACTTTGGAGTGCAGTAACTTATAGTTGCGCCAGAGTGCCCTGGCGTCCTTTGTGCCCTGCACACAGTACACGACGAGATGAGTGGCCTTCCCCACACAAGACTTCGAAGGAGATTCTTCAGATTTCTCTCAGCTTGCGTAGCGGGGACTGTGCCCTGAGAACCCTCATCAAGACCTGCAGTCTAGTTCAGTGACGCCCACAAAGAGCGGCGAACTGCACTGACTAGCCGTATCGAACAGCTGTACCTTTACAGTCTTGCTCTGGGTCACAACATTATGCTCGTACGCCCTGGTGTCAGTTGTACATCCAGAGGCTTCGAGGGACATAGGCGTGCGACGTAAAGCTTCCTTGATAGTTTGGGGAAGCTGCAGTCTGAGCTGAGGAGTGAGACTGACTTCCAATTAAGTTCACGCTAAGGAAGAACTGGAGACCACCCGCGGTGGGCGATACTCTCGCAGGAGACCGTAGCCATTTGCGTCCTACTGATGAAGTTGAGCAGATTGAGCCAGAAACTTCTACCAGCGCCTGTTTCACCAGCAATGACAGGAGGAACAGCATTGCATGTGTCTGCGCTATGTGAGGCATCCTCGACTCGAGGGTGGCTGTGGCTACCTGCACTCTGTTCAAAGTTATGTGACTGACTGCAAGTTAATTTTATACTGTGGAAGGGCAAGATACTACATACGGATACGGTGGACGATGCTCTCCGAAGAACCGACGACATTGCAAAGATCGAAAACAACGAAAAGGGTGTCTTGACTCTTGACTTGCATCGACGCATCGTCGATATTTTTGAGTGCAATCGGCCCCGCCCCAAGTCCCTGATTCATTAGAACATGATGTATCCAGGTGTAAATTTGGAAGATCGATCCCGAAGACGCAGCTATCAATATTGACGATGGCATGGACATCATATCTTCATGTATCACCCAAATTGCAAGCGATAATAATCAAGTGCTTTGTGGCATCACGTGATGGATACCAAACAAACATTCTTTGTGGCTTGGCACCAATTGGCGTCTAGTATCCAGACTGGTAGCCAGGCCGTCTTTCTATTAAGTAGTGTCTGCCATGCTAGTTAGTAAACTACACGCGATAGTCATGTGTAACGCATCGACGAGGACAAAGTCAGGAAGTATAAAGTAAGTATCAAAATCATGATGGATCTTACTTGATCATATCAGCCAACTTTTTTGCGACCTCCCTGGATATCCCGCAACGCTTCGTGAGATGAGGAACAAGATTCCTTCTTCTCACACGTGGACCCCCTGCAAGTAGCTCCTTCAGCTTGCGCATCAACGAGACGAACAGACTATCCCCTCCTATCCATTCTTGCCGCTGCCCGTCAGCAGTAAACCGCTTAACGAGCTCGCAGATTTTGAGGCGCGATTCTTTATAAAGTTGCTTGTGCTTGCTATCCAATCCATTGATAGCGGTGATGCATGCGTGACCAGCGACTTTGATCTCATATTTGTCAAAGTTGGCATGTTCCCGCTCCCACCAATCCTCCATCCTTTCCTCTCTCTCGAGGTTCGTAATCACAAGGACAATGGGAACCTTCTTCTCGCAGAGGAATTCGTGAAAAAGCCGGTAATTGCTCTGAAGAGCAGCGGTCTTTCTGCCAGCGCGAATGCAGTACAGAAGCAGATCAATACCACCTTGTCTATCCAATTCCTTGACTAGCGTGTAGGCATTTACGGCGGAGTCGAGGTACTCGTTCATTCCAAGCTGCGGGTCCTCGAGCCCAACAGTATCGAAGACCTTATAAGACACCCCATCAAAGTCGATGGTATAGTCTTTCCAATGGAGCGTGCAGGGGTCCAAGCTAAGAGATGCCTTTGCTACCTCCTCTCCTGCCACGAGGTTGACGATTGAGCTTTTGCCTACTCCACTCGCCCCAAAGAGTACAATATTCTTTCTAATTATTGATGTTTAGCAAAATACGGCGCAATGTGCGTCTGACAACGAAGTACGTACCGGCAACTCCGTTCGATAAGATTGCAGACAACCTGGTATGACTGTTCGCGGCGCTGCCTGACTTTATTTGTATCACCTTCATTAACGGTCAACGTGGTAATACAAGCGTGGCCAGCAAAGTTCATCCCGAGGTCTGAGATGGATGTCTCGTTATTCCTCCACCAATCTTCCATTTCTGGTTCTCGGTTTTCCAGACCTGTAACAACGAGGACGATGGGAACATCTCCCTTGATTGTGGACAATAACTCGTAGTTGCGCTTGAGCGCCGAGGCGTACTTTGTGCCCTGCACACAGTACACAATGATATGTTTCTTCGTAAGAGTCTGAAAGAGATTCTTCAAAGCATTCTGAGCTTGCGCATGGGGGACTGTTCCCTGAAGGCCCTCGCCAAGACCTGCAGTTGAGTTCAGTGACGCCTACGAAAGGTCGCGGACTGCACTGACCAGCGGTATCAAATAATTGTACCTTTAAAGTCCTGTCATGAGTCACGATATCATGCTCGTACACGGTGGTTTCAATTGTACATCCCCTGGCGTCGGAAGACGTTGGTACCACCTGCGTCTTGGTAATCAAGTTGATCAAGGAACTTTTACCAGCGCCTGTTTGTCCAAAAATCACAACATTGCATGTGTCTGTACGACGTGAAGCTTCTTCGAGTCTGATACATTTGCAGCCAGCTGCACTCTGATCTGAGGTGTGCGACTGACTTCCAGTTAGCGTCATGCTGAGGAAGAGCAGATACTACATACGGTGAACGATGATTTCCTAGGATCCGGCGGCATTGCAAAGATTGAGGACAATGAAAGGAGCATCTTGACTTGCGTTGTCAGTGTTTTTGAGTGCCATCAGTCTTGGCTTCAGTCCCCGATTCGTTAGAATGTGACGTGTGCAGGCGCCAGATTTGAAGTCCGATCCCGGGGCCTGGATTCAGCATGTTCCAAGCATGCAACAAAAGCAATGTGATGCGTGACGTACTTAGTTTCTGAACGCATTAAGCTCGGAGGACCCTGGTTCAACGTTAACCCTCAGACCCTTATTCTCACCTACTAGTAGCCAGACCGGTCAAAGGAACTCGTTGGAACACAACAAGTCCGAGAGCCAGATTTGAAGATCGATCCCGACGCCTGGATACAGCATGCTCATTGCATGTGAGAATGGCAAGAGACAACTAACAGTCTGCCTGTAGCTCAGTACGGTAGAAGGTCGTGCTGGAAACTCTGGTTCCGGGGGAGTAATCAACTTCGGCTAATAGTCATATTGGTCCAACTGATTCAGCTAGACACTTTGTTGGGAAATTCATATACTTACTTGAGCAGTGGGCACTCAACAGTTGCGTATTAATGTATGATCTGGAGTGCATTTCTGTGTAGGAAGGTGTCTTTGTCCAGGCCTCAGGGTCAAGATTTGATGGAAGGGATTATGGGATCTTGTGCAGATCGGTTGTTACCGTGACGAGCTCAGGAATTTGCCGAAACGATGAAGCAATTGCAAGAGGGCATGACAGCATGTGTAGAGCAGAAAGGTCCAATAGGCTGCTAAAGCCTGAATGAGGGGGGGGTGAGGATTCTGGCCGCCCCCTAATAGCAGGAAGAAGCCTGAGAGAATTCGACTATGTAGATGTTGTGCAGATGAGCATTAATACTCTAGCAACATCTAGCTGGGCTAAGCCAGGTAGGTGGGTACCGATGCCTGACGGTAGTAGCTTGAGCTTTGATAGGGTGTACGGGTGTTATACTACTACACGATCATAACAATAATTGGAGTGCACGTGCAGCCAAGTGACGGTGCAGGGGAACTAGCCAAACAGGTAATTTCAAATGATCAAGTATATGAGTGACACCAGAGAATTCGTGAGTGTACCCAGGGTGCTTTACGTTGATTGCGGTGGTTTTCCGACATTATACATGGCTTTATATGACTTTATATTCCAATATAAGGAAAATCTTTCCTATATATCGGCATATATGACAATATCTTCGGTTCACGAGTCCTCTGATGGCCCGACTCCTGCGTAATGTCGACTCGGATACGGTCCCCCCTGGTTCATAATATGGTTGCATTTGGAATTGATTTAGAAACTATCTTACTATGCCACTTATCACAATGCCTTCCTCGCATGCATGGAACATGCTGAATCCATACGTCAGGGCGCCTGGACCCGTCACTGCGTTCTAACGAATCGAAGACTGACTCGAAGGCAAGACTCAAAAACACCGACAACTCAAGTTCAAGACGCCCTTTCCGTGATTTTTGGTCTTTGCAATGTCGTCGATTCTATCGTCGACTACACCCGTATGTGATGCCTGGCTTTTCTTCAACAAGAAGTTAACTTGAAGCCAGTTCTATACCCCAGAACATAATACAGCTGACCACAGTCATCATCCAATTGAGGATGGTGACATTGGCAAAGAAGCAGCCGCGAGTGGAATTTCCTCAGTCGGCTCGGCCGCTGTGACTCAAACAGCGCCGATGTCCCTCAACGCAATGTCACCGTCTTCCGAGAGGGCATCGTCCACCGTACCCGTATGTGGCGTCTGGCTCTTCCTCAGCATAAAATTAACTTGAAGTTAATTCTACCCCTCGGGTCAGAGGGCAGCTGGCCATAGTTCGGATCGAGTCGGGAGTGCCAAAAGTCGCTTGAATATTAGTGAATTGTGGAGTAGGAACAAAAATCAAAGAAACCCCACCATGACGTTGACGACCCAGGATACAACGCCGCCGTCTCTTGGGAGAGTATCACCCCCCATATCCGTATGTGGTCACTGGCTCTTCCTCAACATGACGTTAACTCGAAGTCAGTTCCGCACCTCGAATCAGAATGTAGCTGACCTCAACCGCCATCGAATAAAGGAAGCTTCACGTCGCACAGACACATGCAATGTTGTCATTTTTGGACAAACAGGAGCTGGTAAAAGTTCCTTGATCAACTTGATTACCAAGACGCAGGCGGTGCAAACGTCCTCCGACACCAAGGGATGTACCACTGAAACCACCGTGTACGAGCATGATATCGCGACTCAGGGCAGGACCTTAAAGGTACAGCTGTTCGACACGGCGGGTCAGTGCAGTTCGCCACTCTTTATGGGGTGTCACTGAACTGGATCGCCGCAGGTCTTGGTGAGGACTCTAAGGGAACGGTCCCCAACAAGCGCGCCAAGAAGTCCCTTAATTCTCTTATGAAGAAAGGGAGCATTCATCTCCTCGTGTACTGTGCACAGAGCGCACAGGACCCCTCGGCGCTCCAACGCAATTACAAGTTATTGTCCAAAGTCAAGAGAAATGTTCCTATCGTCCTTGTTGTTACAGGTCTGGAAAACCAACAACCGGAAATGGAAGATTGGTGGAGGATTAACGAGACATCCATCTCAGACCTCGGGATGAACTTTGCTGGCCACGCGTGTATTACCGCGCTGACCATGAATGAAGATGATACAGATGGGGTCAAGCAGCGCCACGAACAGTCATACCGCGCTGTCTGCAACCTTATCGAACAGCGTTACCTGCAGAATGTGACGAGGGTTCACAGTGTGCCTACTATTCCTCCTGCAAGGTATGTACTTTGTCGCAGACGCACATTGCGCCATATCTTGCTAAACATTGATAAATTAGGCAGACTAAAAACATCGTACTCTTCGGGGAGGCGGGTGCAGGCAAAAGCTCAGTCGTCAACCTCATGGCAGGAGAGGAGGTAGCGGTCACATCTCTTAGCATGCGAAGGTGTACGCTCAACTGGCAAGACTATACCATCCACTTCGGTGGAAAGTCTTATAAGGTGTTCGATACTACTGGCATAGAGGAATCGGGACTCGAAAAAGAAGAGTACCTCACCGCAGTCGCAAACGCCTATATGTTTATCAAGGCGTTGGATGCAGAAGGCGGCGTTGACCTACTCCTGTTCTGCGTTCGCGCCGGCCGATTCACCGCTGCGCTTCAGAGCAATTACAGATTCTTTTATGAATTCCTCTGTGAGAAGAAGGTTCCCATTGTTCTCGCAATTACGAACCTCGAAAGAGAGCAGAGGATGGAGGACTGGTGGGAGCGAGAACATGGCATCTTCACTCGATATCAGATCCACGTCGCCGGCCATGCATGCATAACCGCGGTCAATGGATCACCTGGCAGGCACCAGCAACGTTATGAAGATTCGCGTGTCGCGATCCGCAAACTTGTCGAGGAGAAGATCGCTAGCGAGGGATGGGGGGGGGGGAGGATCAAGTTCATGATGTTGGTGCGTGCACTGAAGAAGATTTCTGTAAAGAGTCTGCATATCAAAAAGAGGACTCTTGCCAGTCAGCTCAAGGAGCGTTGCGGCATGTCTGGAGAAACCGCAAGACAGTTGGCCGATATGATCGAGCAAGGGGAGGCCACAGCAACTACTTGCGGATCGTCCTTTGATACATGACATATGCGACTAGGCGTTTCTTATTCCCGCTGCTTTATCACTAGCCCCACTCAATTCTTATTTTATTCTGCCATTTTACTTTGTGGCTTGTAATATAAATCTTGATCGCATGGGAAATAAAATAATGTAGAATTGAGTGCCTCAGTTTATTCTTCCAGTTTATTTGATGCAGGCATCGCTGAGCTTGTAATATGCCGAGCGGCTTGAAGTACCAAAACATTTTGTGTAAGTCAGTTGATCTCACTGGCAGCGTGAATGAGTGTGCACAATGGACACACCAAACTGGATCTTTCCTGACCACGACACCTACAACCACTGCGTCACTCCTAATGATGTGGAAGAATGGCAAGCTAGTCAAACACCTCAAAAATCTTGCCTGCACGATACCATGCAGCCTGCGCCATCTCTGCCATTTGAGTATGGTATGCCACAACTGCAGTTTGGAAATCTGGCAGCGCACAACACATCCCAGATGCATCCGCAGTACGTGACAGAAGATGTGGGCTACAGTGGTCCTCACTATGCTGTGGATCCGTCATCTGGGCTGCGCCGCTCATGCGAGTTGGCAAATAGCGAGAGCTTCGAGTTCTGCAGCTAGTTTTGCATGAAACAAACGACTCCGTCTGCCCGTACGACGAAGCCGTGCCATTGAACTTTGGCAAGTCGATGATGTCCAGTGCCAGATACGCCCGCGGTGTTGGTAAGTTGAACCTCCGATGTGGTGTTATTTTTGGATACTTGAGCGCAGTTTATTCCAGTTTATTTCTCGGACTCTGTACAAGTGACAGTTTGGTGATGGCTCGTAAATTGGAGAAATAAAATGGCAGAATAAAATAAGAATTGAGTGGGGCTACTGTACAGTAAAATCGATTATCTCTCCCAATTTGAATATGAACGTTGGAGTACACTGTTTTTGGAAATTTGCCGCCACCGACGGTGGGAAATTCACGGCATTCCATCTTCGAAGGTCGGCAAGTCGTTCTGGCGGTGACGGATATGGCCCTTTACACTCTTCAGCTAGCGCTGAACGCACTCAGGGCTACTTAACGGTCGAAATGTCAGAGATTCAACCCATGATTGCGCCGCAGGAGGACGGCTCTGGTAGTATACCAGAAACAGCACACGAACCACCACAACCAACGCCCATCACAGACCAAGAGGTGGGAGAGTATCGGGAGCAGGATCGTTTCCTACCAGTGCGCACTATCGTTCGTCTGGCTTGATTGACTTGTTTATCTTTCTGATAGATTGCAAATGTCTCCCGTATCATGAAACAGTCCGTTCCGCATACTGCTAAGATCGCCAAGGACGCCAAGGAGTGCGTTCAGGAATGTGTTTCAGAGTTCATAAGTTTCATTACTTCTGAGGCCGCTGAGAAATGTCAGATGGAAAAGCGGAAAACAATCGGAGGCGAGGATATCCTGTACGCCATGGTGTCTCTAGGGTTTGAGAACTATGCGGAAACACTAAAGATTCATCTGGCAAAACTGAGACAGGTGCGTATTTTTCCATGATATACCTTATGGGTTGTATTAAAACTTGTGTCAGCACCAAGCAGGATCCTCGTCGAACCCACGACAGGAGCATAGAGAAGATTGATTATACTTTCTTGTACGCTATACTATTTGTGTACCACTTACGATATCAACTGCTTTCGCAATGTCCATATTTTGCAACTCATCTTGCCACTTTGTCCGCTTTCCATGATGTGATCCACGCCAAAGCAGCCTTGAATAGAGTGGCAGCGATTGTCCAACAACTCACGGAGGCCTGAGGCCTGAGGTGATCCTGGGTCATATTTCCTTGGTATGCGTGGGCTGATAGCAATACATGTACGCATTCAAAACACAGTAATATTCACTACTATGATTTTCCGAGTAAGGATTCGGTTGAGATTAGATTTACGTTAACTTACGCCCTGCTCTGGCTGCCGCAGGAGTATTCAAACCTCTCGGCAAATTCCGTGCCAAACTCCGACACATCATTCTCGACTACACAGCGTCAACGACGTCGACGGACACCCTCAAATAATCCCCAATGACTGTAAGTCGCTGTTCTGTGCATCTGGACTCCTTTACCGAGCATTGTGCTACTTCTCACATTATTTTCGATGGAAACTCGTCGAGTTTTGAGACGGATGGAGGTGCCACATATCCGATGTAGTGAATACATTGGTGGAACACCTATATCATATGGCGCATATCGAACGATCATTGTCTCTCTGACGCTCGATTGAATGGAATTCTGATGATGCTATTCGCTTGTAGGATTCAACTTTCAAACGTTTCGTAGAGGTTGGACGAGGTACGACTGTTTATGACTTGTGCCGCACTGAATGAGCTAAAGTGTTAAACAGTGGTCCTTCTCAAGTCCGGCCCATCTGCAGGCAAGATCGCTGTCATTGCCGAGATCATAGACCACAACCGGGTGCGTGCAATGATATCATGTGCCAGAAAAATTAGCTGATCTCATACTATCCCGCCAATGTATAGGCAATTATTGATGGCCCAACCACCGGTGTACCACGCCAATCATTCCCCTACCGCCACCTCACCCTCACCCCTATTTCTCTAACAAAACTTCCTCGCGGCGCAGGGTCTGGTGTCATCCGGAAGCAAGCGGAAAAGGAGAGTATCGTTGCTAAGTGGGAGTCCTCAACATGGGCCAAGAAGCGTGCTGCCATGGAGAAGAGACGGTCACTAAACGACTTTGAGCGTTTCAGCGTGATGGTTACAAAGAAGCAGCGGAGAGATGTCGTCAGGAAGACCCTAGCCAAGGCTGCATAGAGGATGTATGGATACAAAATATTGGGCATCTTGGTAGGATGTCGCCTCGTTGCATGATCCACACCTTCCCTTACATCTCTTATGCCTACCATGATATATGCATGCACCATGCCCGAGCTATATCACTAACCATTCGCCTCCAAGTAAGATCTGTTATTCTCAACTAGTCGGCTTCTCCTGGGTTTGAGTGATACCCCTTTTTGCTCTTTCGACTGTTGCTTCTGCCTCTACCTCTACTAGAGCAGCTGATGCCCAGCTATGAAAACCCCCCTTGTCAAACGCTTCTCTAAGGCGGATCTCTGCTTCTTGCCAATTCCATTCCACAGGTTCAGATGCAGGATTTTTCGTCTGCGCAGAATCACTACTGGCATCGTCCTGGTGGGGTTCAGCTGGACGATATATTTGGTATGAGAGGACGGGTAATTTGGTCAGCACCGCATGACGGAGACGTTCCGCAAACTCGTTGGTCTGTAAGAAAAATTTGCTCGAGTTCCAGAAAGAAAAGTCGCGATATTGTAAGGACGCACATTACGAGCATCGAGAGCTCTCATTACTCCCCAAATAGAGGCTGTAGCACCCAGCGTCACAAGAGCAGTAGCGATGCCGAAGGCTTTGAGGGTGTACAGAGGACCGTTGAAAAACTGTTCTCCACTGTCTCCATTTGACACAGGACTTTCAAAGGCGGTGGTTGAGCTAGAACCTCCCTCGGTACTGTTTGTGAGGTAGGTCGGGGTCTTATTGGGGAAGAATGCGATGAGATAGGCAACGTTGGTGGTCCTCGCCCTCGCCGAGGAGGCGCAGTAGTTTCCTGAAGATTCTTTGGAATAACACTGCGCCTATATCGTCGTAGCATGACTATTGGCACTACAAGTGCTACGGATGAAAAGGCCAGCTGCGGTACATATGAACTACTAGTCCATACAATTGATTGAATGCGATCGGGCTGCTCACCAAGGTCACTGGAACCCATTTCGGAACTTGGTGATTAGTTCCGAAGATACTCGTCCGTAGATCGTCTTCCTTTGCATTGTCGGAAGACGTCATTCGCAATGGTAAAATGTCGCAAGGCAGGCTCGGGAGGATGTGTAAAAGAAGGGTCACGTGGTGTCATCGACACACATATGCACATTGCACATTTGATGATCTATACTACTGACACGTCCCTTGAATTTGTTCCGAATCATCGTGCTAGTCAAACGAAGACGCTCAAGTTGTCTGCAATCTGTGACAACAAGTAGCACTCACTTGTGAGTATTCAGTGGTAGTATTTGTGCACAGTTGAGTGATACTTTCATTTTGACGTGCACTGATAGTACCCACCCATCTGCCTATCATCTTTAGCTTGTTTCTTCGCCGGCAGCTTGGTGCACCATGTCTGACCTGCGATTTGCGCAGTTGAAGACAGACAAGGTGGGAAAGAAGAAATCAAAGCAAAAAGGCAAAGGAAAGAAAAAAACTGGGTGCGTTGTCTTCCACCGCTTCCCACCTCGTATTGTGGCTACAGACTGAGTAGATAAATTATATATAATTTATGAGCCCCTTCAGGGTCTGGCCAGCCAGCAAAAAACGGCATTCCTAGGTTTTCCCACGGTCCGAAAAAGGCCAGATATTCAATATGGCGCTCCAGGACTGCCGCCCGCAGCACCAGCATCGCTCCCACACCAGCCGCATTCTTGCAAAAAAAAAAAAAAAAATCAGCCGGCACTCCAGGACTGCCGCCGCAGCACTGGCATCATTATCCACCACGCCCTCTAGGACTGCCGCTGCAGCACACCGATCATCGAACGCCCTCCCAGACACAGTTCTCCAACAAAAAAACGATCCTGTGCACGGCGGCATTCTAGGACTGCCACTCACAGCACCACTATCATCAACCCCCCATGCTGACCCCTCTTGAAAACAGTTCTTCACCAAAAAAAAAAAAAAGACCCTGAACTGCCACCATCATCATCATTGATCAGCCCTCTCAAATGGTTCTCTGCAAAAAAAAATTGACCACACATGCAGTGGCATTCTAGGACTGCCACTCAATGCACCATCTCCCTCAACTGTTCTCCACAAAACAAAACAAAAAAGACCCTGCATGCAGTGGCACTCTGAGACTGCCACCTGTGCACCATCGTGATTGATCTCTATTCATACCAATGTACATGCAGCAGCGCTCTGATATTGCTGCCCATGGCTAGACCATCATGCTTGCTAGCCCCTTCAGTGGTTCTCTACAAAAAATTGACCTCTCACACAGTGGCACTCTAAGACTGCCGCCTGTGCACCATTGAGAATGAACCCCTCCAACTGTTCTTGACCAAAAAAAAAAAAGACCCTACATACAGTGGCACTCTGAGACTTCCACCATCTCTTCCACCAGCATATGTACCCACAGCAGCCCTCTATAATGGTTCTTTGCAAAAAAAAATTGACCCCACGCACAGTGGCACTTTCTGGGACTGCCGCTGTTGCACTATCATGAATGAACCCCCCAAAAAACTATTCTTGACGACAAAAATACCCTGCATGCAGTGGCACTCTGAGACTGCCAATCATACATACTGACTCCCTATACGCAACCCTCGATGGCACCATCCAATGATTTTGTTATCAGCATCATAACATGGTGACCCACCAAAAAACCCCTGCATGCAGTGGCACTCTGAGACTGCCACCCATGCTACTTTATCATACTTGCTAACTAACCCTCCATGGTTCTTTTCCCACAAAACATGTAGCGCTCCCTTGCATACAAAAAATTGTGTGCTCCAGAAAGGCTGAAAGACTTGCCCTCCCACGCAACAAATGACCGATTTGTGTGACACCATAATGGGGTCAAAAAATAGAATGTGTTGGAGGGGGGTTAGAAATATTGCTTGGATGACTAGAGCGACCAGAAAGTCCCTAAGATAGAGCCAGAGATATAGCCTTTAATCCCAAGACTCGCGGTTGACAAGAGACAGCACTCAAGTCCAGGAGGAAATGAGAATGAGCGGGAACCAAGCCGATATTCAAAACTGAGGATGTATAGAGATAATATACAAAAGAAACATCAGTCAGTGCGGTCCAAGGCTATGTGCAAAGCATATGGACAGTATAACAAAGTAAAATCAGAGAAGAATCAAGTAAAATAGGGAAAAGTCTGACAGGCACATAAGGCCTAGACATGCTGTCGCCATCTGTGACCATCAATGCATCCTCACCAGTCTGGGATGTAAGAGAGTCCATTGCACCAGGAGATGACTTCCAAGTATCTGGTACACATTAGTTAGCATATCTAATTGATTTCTGAATGCACAAGCAGCAGATGAATCGTGAGAAAAATTGTGCATATCCCCACCTATTTGTCTATTACAAGAATAGTGGACAGTTTCTGAATTCTGAATAAAATCACAAGTATGTATGAGGACCAAATTCAGAGTAGGTTTTGCAAAAAAAAAAAAAAAAAGGGGAAATTTGTTTTGTAATCTGCACATTCCAAAATAAGATGCCTCCAAGGTTACATTTGTTCACGACATGATGTTTTCAAGTCTATAATAGAGGATCCAGTCACATATCGGGCTCTCGAACCAATACCACCACCATGGATGATTTTTCCCACGCATTTTTGCCAGGCAAGGTCGAGTTTTGCTAGCTCACAGTCCACCACTGGGCCTTTATTAAAACAAGCTCCCCTCTGAACCCACCCATGCATATCAGCTGAATGAACATGAATTCCCCATAAATAGCCATCAGAGAATATACCCCGAAAACCTCATCAACTGAACCTCATACACGCCCCACCCACAAACACACATAAGCACGCATCACAACTCAAACACATCTGAACCCCATTATACTAGATAAGACACCTATCACACCCTCGACGCGAGCCCACAACAACTAAAACTGCCAAAAATTAACAAAATGAGGCAAAGGCTATGCCTGAACGTAAAAAACTAACAACGCTTAAGTCACATATCAAATTTAAAGTCTGCCCAACCAGTAAACCCAAAAAAAAAAATTGTTTACAATTTGTAGATATGACAAATATATGTACGAGTGGCCCTCTGAGTACCCCACTGAGAGGCTCACTCAATTTGGTGGACCAGTACTTCTCGATTGATACATTGGGTAGTATACAGTGGCTCAAAAAATTGTCCTAATGTTTGTGAGTTTTCATTTGCTTCATTGTGAGTCAGGGCGTGGGAATATGACTAAGCTATAGGGAGGCGTCAGAAGGCTCTGCTTCTTTGCTGTGTCTTTGTTCCCTATCAAAGACTTCAATATTTCAATGACAACTGCAATGACTATGTTGACTTGTAATTGTAAAGTAAAGTACTGAGATGGATGGAAGGACGATGTTAAAGTAGATTAAATTAAAACTCCGATAGAAACATCTGGCAGCCACTCCACATCAGCCACTCAGCCACTCAACCACTCTGGATATTTCTGGCAGAGTCTAAGACTCTGTTCAGGATCACAATTTTGGCCAACTTCAACAAATTTCGAGAAATAAAAAACAAGATTAAGTAAGCATTCACTCATTGGAGCTTGAAAACAGATGTCACGCTGATTAGCAGTGTGGTCAATATCATAGCGTGTGTAGTATACGCACACCATGGCCATGCTCCCCCGCCTCTTTCTCCACAGCAGTGGCAATGCCGATGATGAGGTTTCATCAAAGTTGAGGGATCATGAGTGGGATGAGGAGGACCAACTGGATGTGGAAGATGAGGGAGATGACTCCAGTGAGGATTTGGAGAGTGTTGATGATGCAGAGGAATCTGATATCAAATTTCTCCAAGCAATCATCAACTTTTTTCAGCATGTGGTCTCATCAGCCTCTGAAGTCATCAATGTTGCAGGGGTTGCCATGAATTCATACACGAAAACTTATTATGACAAACAACCATATCATACTTCAATCCTGATGGGGGTTGGCTGGGTCAATGAACTTCTCAATGGCCATCCAGAATGGATTCGATGTGAGCTTGGCATGCATCGCCATGTATTCATTGTACTGCTACAATTACTTTGTGAGGGTGGTGAAGGTTCAACTACTCTGCTAGGCTTGCAGAGCTATAGACAGAAAGAAAGCCTCTACCTCTGGGGTGAGAGGAAGGCTACTGACTCTCTAGGTGTTGGTTGAAGCGTGCCAAGCGATGTGTTCAACCCTTAGGAGAAGCAAGGAAAGCAAATCCACAGAGTGACACCTAGTCAACTATGGTGAAGCACACTGAAAGCACATGTGCAGGAATGTCAAGCGCGTAGGTGCACGAAGCATGGGAATAGAGCGCATGTGGTGCGTGGATGTGTAAAGACTGAAAGATGGTGTGAAGACATAAACTGAGGCTGCTGAGTGGAGAGACTGATGATAATGGACTGTTGCTAATGGCTAGGGCGACAACTGATAGATGCTAACTCATGATGGATTCTAACTGCTAGACGACTACTGGATGGTTGTTGTATCTCTTGTGGTGGTGGTAGGTTTTTATGAAAACTTTTCCTAGGCAACAGGTAAGCTGTGCCTAGGCGCACTCCCAGGGCTCAGAAGCAAATAGGGAGCGCTCTAAGTATGTAAATGATGTAAATAAAGGGTCCATGACAAAATAAGATATCATACGATGCCAGACATGAGAATAAGTGGAAAGGGATGCACCAGGGGACTGGTTGGACGATGGATGGACGCTCTGGGATGCTGCACAACAAAGTGTGACTAAGTGTGCTAAGTGCGTGCACGAGAATGCGTCGCATAGTGTGGGAATGTGTTGTGCCTCTGGCGCATTTTGCGGGAAAGTCATAGATAGTGAGTTGTGCACTGTACTGATTGTTGTGAGTCGAAATATGGGCAATCTATGCCTGGAGGAATGTCATTCTCTACAGCAGCATAAATGACTCGAAACACATAACCCTGGAGGAACAACTAGCCATCTTCCTGTATGCCACCTTGCTGAGCATTATATAGGATTTTTGTAAATAGGTTAGGGTGACTGTATGGTTATTTCAGCCTAAGGCTACCCATAACATAAAGGTTCAAGACATTTATCATATTTATGTGGTACATTGGTGATCAAATCCCTCATAAAGGCTTGATGTATATACACAAATAGTAGTAGATAACATGTAAATCAAGCATACATATTGATATATCCCCAATGACAACGGTTGTGAAGGGGGATGACATTAATGTTTCATAAAGTTTGTAAATACATGGTGAGATAATGGCCGCGTTGAGAACAGTCATCAACGCGGCCATTATCTCACCATCTATATTTTCATCACATGGATAGTGGGATAATGGCCGCGTTGAGAACAGTCATCAACGCGGCCATTATCTCACCATCTATATTTTCATCACATGGATAGTGGGATAATGGCCGCGTTGATGACTGTTCTCAATGCGGCCATATACTCACCATCTATATTTTGATGGCATGGATAGTGAGTATGTGGCCGCGTTGATGACTGTTCTCAATGCGGCCATATACTCACCATCTATATTTTGATGGCATGGATAGTGAGTATGTGGCCGCGTTGATGACTGTTCTCAACGCGGCCATTATCTCACCATCTATATTTTCATGGCATGTATAGTGGGATAATGGCCGCGTTGATGACTGTTCTCAACGCGGCCATTATCTCACCATCTATATTTTGATGGCATGGATAGTGGGATAATGGCCGCATTGATGACTGTTCTCAACGCGGACAATATTTGCATGATCAATGTGGATGGTGATGTGATGGCCGCATTGAGAACAGTCATCAACGTGGCCATTATCTCACCATCTATATTTTGATGGCATGGATAGTGGGATAATGGCCGCGTTGATGACTGTTCTCAACGCGGCCACAGACACACTATCCATGCCATGGAAATATAGATGGTGAGATAATGGCCGCATTGAGAACAGTCATCAACGCGGCCACATACTCACTATCCATGCCATCAAAATATAGATGGTGAGTATATGGCCGCATTGAGAACAGTCATCAACGCGGCCATTATCCCACTATCCATGTGATGAAAATATAGATGGTGAGTATATGGCCGCGTTGAGAACAGTCATCAATGCGGCCATTATCCCACTATACATGCCATGAAAATATAGATGGTGAGATAATGGCCGCGTTGATGACTGTTCTCAATGCGGCCATCACATCACCATCCACATTGATCATGCAAATATTGTCCGCATTGAGAACAGTCATCAACGCGGCCATCTGTGTGCACACAACAGCCATGAAGGCACAGACTCATTTTAAAATATATAAAACTGGTGTGATTGTATGGTGCACATTCACAGCTGTCATGAAGGGGCAGACTTTTTCTACAATCTATACAGATGGTTTTTGCTGAGGGTGTGTGCTCACAATAGTTATGCAGGTGCATACTCATTCTAAACTCTATGCACATGTTGTTTGTTGAAGGTCCATGCTCACAACTGTTGGATATGTGGCCATACATTGGCATATGGCCCCATATACGACTTGAGTGAGTGCGCACTGGCAGCAAACAACAATTATATATAAACCACATTATCATGTGACATAGTCATGTGACCTTCACGGACTTATAATTGTAGACATGAGGCAAGGGCGCCGCCGATGTGAGTGTATAAAGCGAGGCGAGTCATAATCGCAACACTAAGCAATCAGAATCACAACATCGACCATCGACGATTGATTACCTGCATATCTGCGTGCAAATGGCAGGAAAACGCAAAAGTACAAAAACAGGAGGAAAGACGGCAGCAGGTACAACGGTATGTAGGGTAGATCTATAATTGAAAAGAACTGTCAATAACGACATCGACTTCTGACGATCCGACGCCTATCAGGACGGAGGTCCATCTAATTTGCACCTAGACGCGAGGCCTGTCGAACCGCACATACCTAAGAATGACATTGCAAAAGAGACGCAGAGACTTGACACCCAGGTCACGAAATGCAAGGTCGGGGTTGCTTGGATCGATCTGCTGGAGATGCAAGATCGCCTCAAATTCGGCAAATACAATGACAGGCCGCCTAACGATGCAGAGATCAACAAACTGATCATATCCTTCAAGTCCTCAGGGATAGTACCTATGAAGGACGTGTCAGCGATCCCGATCATCATCGACATCAAGCGAATTGAAAGAGGACTCGCGCTTGCCACTGGTTTTGATGAACCGGATGCCGTGCCTGAACTTAAGCTTGTTGACACAGAGGTCGTCGTCGTCGCCTCTGGTCAGCATCGTCTTGCAGCACTGTGCAAGTACCATCAGACTCTTGAGGATGAGATGGCGTCGTTGGAGAAGAAACGAGCGAAGATAGCAGGTCTCAAAAACGTGTCAGAAGAACATGTCGCGACGTATGAAGCCTTACGAGAGGAGATTGGGAGTATCATGGGACTTCTGGATGGCATTGGCAAATGGGGCGTGATCGTCTATGACAGTGGTGAGTGGATGTTCCGCGCATGATACTGTGGCGAGTGGGGACGCATATACTCACGAGCGTGTTATACGATCCGCACATGCCACCGTTCTGTGTGTGGGAATGCTGACATGTTGATACTTAGACAAGCTGTTGGCGAAGGACGAGACGCTGGCCATGCATTTGAGCAGGAACAACACCTTGCATGAGTTCAAAGAGACGGAAGAGGAGATTCTTGTATCAGTGTTCAAAAAGATACAGGAGATATACAAGAACTCGCCTGTCGACAAACGGCTCAAGCTCGCCAAGAACGAACTGCAGGAAGCTCGCAACAAACATGTCAAAAACGCACGCATACAGAAGGTCCTCCATCACGACAGTCTTTGCATCCTGCTCGCAACGCGTCTTCTACACTTGGGCCCTCATTTTCGCCGCCGGCACGAGTTCTCGGTGACGTGGCTTGCAAAATCGTTGGACGTCTGTATGGGAGTAAGTCGATGTACCAGACATAACATGATGACGGACTGATGCTCACGCCGCACCAGCTCTACGTCTCATGGATCGAATCGCGCTGCAAGACGCTCGCGATGCTCTCGTCTCGTGCACCATTTCCATCGCACATGGCTGTGCGAAAATTAGTTGAAAAGAGCGAGAACGGAGACAAAACAGCCAAGGACGAACTCACTGAGCTGCGGAGAGTGATAACGAGTTGCCTGCCCGCTGATGAAGGAGAGCTGTCGATCTGGGCCCCGGTGCTCGACAAGATCGACTCGCACGCCTCCATTTTCGCTGACCACGCTGACATCATTGAAGAAATGTCCCCATCGTACATCGCAGCCCTAAGCACATACCGAAACAACGTCATACGAACGCTGCGACAAGCGTGGTTGGGCAACGATTCAAATCGCTCTGCGGATGGCGAGAATACGATCTTCAAGCACCTAGACAGCATCATCGCTCGAGTCGCACTTCACCTCACGCCAACAGAGACTGCAGAACGCGCACCTGAACCGCTTCTCGGAGGGTTTTTGATGGATTACGCCTGGAACTATATGATCAAGGTCAAGGAGGCCATCGCTGAGGTGAGCCTGTACCATTCGCATCGAGGAGAAGCGATATGACTCACCATCGACCGTGCATCGGACAGATCTGCCGATGGTTTGAGGCGCTGCTGGATTATTGGCGCTTCCTGCATGGCAAGACGCATGCGATGGACGACTGGTCGACCGTCATGCTGTCGAACATAGCAAAGGATCCACGATTCGAAGAGGAAGGAAGCGATACGGAGGTCAGTCACGGAATGGTGTTGAAAAGACAGAGAGAACAGCGACTGAATGCGCGCCTGCAGGTGATGCATATCATCTGGGATTATAGGCAGACGCTGGTCCTGCGTCTCGAAAATTGCATGATCAGAAACAACCGCCGGCTGGACATTCGCCCAAAGGACAAGAAGGCGTTCGACGCAGCCGTAGAAGCCTTTAAGGACAGCGATCAGATCACGAGTCAAGCGCTGCAGCAGTTGGTGCTCAAACGACGAGGAAAGCATGCGGTGTCAAATAGAGACTTGTCGAACGAATCGCTGAAACTCGCCGGCACGATGGCCCTCCATGTCACGGCATGGGAGTGGCACTCTCTCTCGATCAAGAATCCGGCGCGAGACATACAGCCGTGCATCAATGCGATAACGTTAGAGAGCAAGATGATCATGGAGTATCGTCCGAGATTGTTCAAAGACAAGTGGGCGGGCTCGTTGCGGAGGCTGATCGAACTCGCTCTATGCAAACGACTCGAGCCCAAGCAGCTGATGACGTCGAGAAGGGAGCTCTACACCGTCCAGGAGTGGACCTGGTGGGATGGCATCGTTCTGAGCCACTTGCTATCCGACCCGTCGAAGATTCTCGCCGAGATCCATGAAGAACTCGTCGATAAGCAGCATAAACAACTGGAACGACTCGCTCTCGAGACGCAGGACCGTGACGCAATCCAGAAAGCTGTCAACTATATTGTCAATATGGCGGGATCAAAGGTGGTTGGAACTCCGCATTCCAGGATCTCGGCCGAAGTGTTTGATGCATTGGTCAAACTCGTGCAGGTATGTCGAACCCCCATGGTTACCGTGGCATGTGCGGCCCACATCGGCTGCCGTTGTATGCGGGGGACTTTGCAACCTGACGATTATTTGTTCCTGTATTTTTGTGCAGGCGTTAGAACTGAACACGACGAGATTACGAACGCGTTCCATTGCGAACGACGAAGAGCTACTTTTCAATATTAAAGATGTCGTCCAGCTTCAGATCGTGTTGCCTCCCTGCATAAACAACGAAAACACATTGGTGAGTCAGCGGTGCAATGCTATATAATGCGTCTCACTTCGCATCGAACACGACTCATACTAACATGTCTGCAAGGGCTACGAGGACCAGAGCAATGACGATGATGTAGATGATGTAGATGAGGCTGAGCCGGCGATCAAACGTGTCCGACAGACGATTCTAAGGGCACATTTGTAACCTGGTATTGGTTACACCCAGGTTATGGCTAGCCAAAAGAGCACAATCTGGGCATTTCTGAACATGTCAAAAATGCGCAGAACAGGGGAGGTCAGATCTGGGCATTTCTCAACATGTCAAAAATGCCCAGAACAGGGGGGGGTCAGATCTGGGCATTCTAAGGGCACATTTGTAACCTGGTATTGGTTACACCCAGGTTATGGCTAGCCAAAAGAGCACAATCTGGGCATTTCTCAACATGTCAAAAATGCCCAGAACAGGGGGGGTTGGATCTGGGCATTTCTGAACATGTCAAAAATGCGCAGAACAGGGGAGGTCAGATCTGGGCATTTCTCAATGTGTCAAAAATGCCCAGAACAGGGGGGGGTCGGATCTGGGCATTTCTCAACATGTCAAAAATGCCCAGAACAGGGGAGGTCAATTCTGGGCATTTCTCAACATGTCAAAAATGCCCAGAACAGGGGGGGGTCAGATCTGGGCATTTCTCAACATGTCAAAAATGCCCAGAACAGGGGAGGTCAATTCTGGGCATTTCTCAACATGTCAAAATGCCCAGAACAGGGGGGGGTCAGATCTGGGCATTTCTCAACATGTCAAAAATGCCCAGAACAGGGGAGGTTGAATCTGGGCATTATTATATAGCACTTTTCTATATGGGTCGGGGTTAAGAAGGGGTCGTTTCAAGACATTTCACAAATATAATCCTCCACTGGAACCGTTCCACTGGAGGGTCACAGAGTACCAGGGTATCGACAACAATGATCTCCACTGGAACCGTTCCACTGGAGGGTCACAGAGTACCAGGGTATCGACAACAATGATCTCCACTGGAACCGTTCCACTGGAGGGTCACAGAGTACCAGGGTGTCGACAACAATGATCTCCACTGGAACAGTTCCATCGGAGGCTCGACTCCATGACAAGACAAAGACATTATGTAAGCTAATACCTGATCAACTAATTGATGAAAACCAATGTCATAGCCCTCGTCAAGGGGAGTCCATCCATAGTCTAATGACATCAATAGGATAAGATCCTAATGAATTATAAGCAAAATACTCGAAATCAAAGGGTTCAACAAAGCAACTCAACCGTGGGAACTACTCCGATAAAAATGCAAAAATCAAGCAAAATCAAGCAAAGTCTGAACGAGGATTCGACCCGGGCCATAAGGATAAGGATAAGGAATACGATAGTCAAGACTACGATAGCAAAAAATCAAGAAAACAAGCAAAAGACAAGGATAAGGATCACGACGGTCAAGACTACGATACGATAAGCAAGTCAAGGATAAGAAACGCGATAGTCAAGACTACGATACGATAAGCAAGTCAAGGATAAGAAACACGATACCATTCTAAGGGCACATTTGTAACCTGGTATTGGTTACACCCAGGTTATGGCTAGCCAAAAGAGCACAATCTGGGCATTTCTGAACATGTCAAAAATGCGCAGAACAGGGGAGGTCAGATCTGGGCATTTCTGAACATGTCAAAAATGCGCAGAACAGGGGAGGTCAGATCTGGGCATTTCTCAATGTGTCAAAAATGCCCAGAACAGGGGGGGGTCGGATCTGGGCATTTCTCAACATGTCAAAAATGCGCAGAACAGGGGAGGTCAGATCTGGGCATTTCTCAACATGTCAAAAATGCCCAGAACAGGGGGGGGTCAGATCTGGGCATTTCTCAACATGTCAAAAATGCCCAGAACAGGGGGGGGTCAGATCTGGGCATTTCTCAACATGTCAAAAATGCCCAGAACAGGGGAGGTCAATTCTGGGCATTTCTCAACATGTCAAAAATGCCCAGAACAGGGGAGGTTGAATCTGGGCATTATGAAAGCAATTCAACCGTGGGAACTACTCCGATAAAAATGCAAAAATCAAGCAAAGTCAAGCAAAGTCTGAACGAGGTTTCGACCTGGGCCATAAGGAAAAGGATAAGGAATACGATAGTCAAGACTATGATAGCAAAAAATCAAGAAAACAAGGAAAAGACAAGGATAAGGATCATGATAGTCAAGACTACGACACAATAAGCAAGTCAAGGATAAGAAACGCGATAGTCAAGACTACGATAAGGAAGTCAAGGATAAGAAACGCGATAGACTACGATACAATAACTTACGATAACAATACGATAGTCAAGGATAAGGATAAGGATAAGCAGGGCAATCATATGTTAGACCGCCCCCACCCACCCGCCCGTTAGCTCTCTCGTTGTCTCGTATAAAAACATATTCTCTCGGTGTCTCGCTTCTCGGTTAGATAGCTTAGCAACACACTACAATACACCACAATACAATACCCCAGCAAGACAAGCAATACAACAGCAATAACTCAGGCAAAATCAACCAACCCAATACCAAAAAAATAGCAGAAATCACCCAAAATGAACCCAAGTCTGAACAACATTTTCGCCTAAGCCTGCCCCTCACATCAACCAAAATAAAGCCATGCAATACCAAAAAAATACCAAAATGAACCCAAAACCAAGCCCAGTCCTGACAAGGTTTTCGCCTAAACCTACGCCTCACATCAACCAAAATCAACCAACACAATACAAACAAAAATACCAAAAATCAAGTAAAGTCAAGCCCAGTCCTGACAAGGTTTTCGCCTAGACCTACACCTCAGATCAAGCAAAAATCAACCAAAGTCAAGCCCAGTCCTGACAAGGTTTTCGCCTAAACCTACGCCTCAGATCAAGCAAAAATCAACCAAAGTCAAGCCCAGTCCAAACAAGATTTTCGCCTCACCCTACGCCTCAAGATCAAGCAAAATCAACCAACACAACGCCAAAAATCAACCAAAGTCAAGCCCAGTCCTGACGAGGTTTTCGCCTCACCCTACGCTTCAGATCAAGCAAAATCAAGCAACCCAATACCAAAAAAATACCAAAAATCAAGCAAAGTCAAGCCCAGCCCTGACAAGGTTTTCGCCTTCGCTTACGCTTCAGATCAAGCAACACAATAGCAAGAAAATATCAAAAATCAAGCAAAAATCAAGCAAAGTCAAGCAAAGTCTGAACAAGGTTTTCGCCTCAGCCTACGCATCAGATCAAGCGACACAATAGCACAAAAATAGCGAAAATCAAGCAAAGTCAACCCAAGTACAAACAAGGTTTTCGCCTCACCCCACGCCTCAAATCAAGCAAAGTCAAGCAAAGTTGAAACAAGGATGAGGATGAGCAATACAACAGTCAAGACTACAACTAGCAAAAGACAAGGACAATGATAAGAAACCACCACGCCACCACGCCATACCCCACAACAACCAAGTCAAGTCAAGGACAACAAACACAACAGACCACCATACAATAAAAACGCAAGACAATACGATAACAATACAATAGTCAAGGATAAGGATATCAGGGCTCGCCATACGTCAGCATTCTTGAATCGCCCCCACCCCCCCACCCGTTAGCTTTCTCGTCGTCTCGGATAAAAACGTATTCTCTCGGTGTCTCGGTTAGAGGTACCATACAACAGCCAGACAAGCAAGGCAATAGACTACAATAGTCAACCCAAGCATAAGGAATACAATACAAATACAATACAAAACCGCAATAGATCACAATACACCGCAATAGTCAACACAAGGACAACAAATACAGCACAATACCAAGACAACACAATACCCCCAAAACGGCCAAAATAAACCAACCCCAGAGCCATAAAATAGCAAAAATCAAGCAAAATCAAGCCCAGCCCAAACGAGGTTTTCGCCTTCCCCTACCCCTCAGATCAAGGGACACAATAGCAAAAAAGCATCGAAAATCAAGCAAAGTCAAGCCCAGTCCAAACAAGGTTTTCGCCTTTCCCTACCCATCGCAACAGCAAAAAAATAGCAAAAATCAAGCAAAGTCAAGCCCAGTCCAAACAAGGTTTTCGCCTTCCCCCACCCTTCACCCCAGACAAGATCAACCGTTCCATCAGCAGAAAAAAAACAGCAAAAGTCAAGCAAATCAAGCAAAGTCCAAACAAGGCTTCAACCCAGACAAGGAGTGAAACAGTCAAGACCACCACAGCAAAAAAATCAACAAAACAGGCAGAAGACAAGGATAAGGATAAGGATCACAACAGTCAAGACTACGATAAGGAAGTCAAGGATAAGAAAAGCAATACCATAGGACACAATACGACAGTCAAGACAAGGATAAGAAACGCAACAGACTACGATAGACCACCATACAACAATATGCGATAACATACAATAACATACAATAACAATACAATAGTCAAGGATAAGGACAAGCAGGGCAATAATATCTTAGATCCCCCCACCCCCCCGCCCATTAAAGCTTAGAAACCCACCGCCCCCCCGTTAGCTTTCTCGTCGTCTCGGATAAAAACGTATTCTCTCGGTGTCTCGGCTCTCGGTACTATACAATAGTCAAGACAAGCATAAGGAATACAATACAATACTACGCAATGCAACAGCAAGACAACCAATACAATACCAACACACTACAATACCAATAAAACAGCCAAAATAATCCAACACCAGAGCCATAAAATACCAAAAATCAAGCAAAATCAAGCCCAGTCTGACCGAGGTTTTCGCCTAAACTCACGCGTCAAATAACACAACCAATACAATACCAATCAAACAGCCAAAATAAACCAACACCAGAGCCATAAAATAGCAAAAATCACGCAAAATCAAGCCCAGTCTGACCGAGGTTTTCGCCTAAACTTACCCATCAAACAGCAAAAATACAGCAAAATCAAGCCCAGTCCAAACAACATTTTCGCCTAAACTTACCCATCAAATAGCAAAAATAAAGCAAAATAAAGCCCAGTCTGACCGAGGTTTTCGCCTAAACTTACCCATCAAATACAAAAAATACAGCAAAATAAACCCTAGTCTGAACAAGGTTTCGTCCTCAGCCAACGCATCAAATACACAAATCAAGCAAAATCAAGCCCAGTCTGAACAAAACTCTGACCTTCGCCACCCATCACTCCAGACAAGATCAAGCAGAATCAAGCAACACAAACACAAAAAAAAACACAAAAATCAAGCAAAGTCAAGCAAAGCGTGAACGAGGTTTTGACCTGGGCCATAAGGATAAGGAATGTGATAGTCAAAGACTACGATAGCAAAAAATAAAGAAAACAAGCAAAAGACGAGGATAAGGATCACGATAGTCAAGACTACGATAAGGAAGTCAAGGATAAGAAACGCAATACCATAGGATACGTCGCGATAGTCAAGACAAGGATAAGAAACACGATAGACTACGATAACATACGATACGATACGATAATGATAACTTACGATAATAATACAATAGACTACGATACTATACAATAACGTACCATACGACAACGATACAATAGTCAAGGATAAGGAAAACCAGGGCAAATAATATTTTAGCTTGCCCCCACCCCCCCGCCCTGTTAGCTTTCTCGTCGTCTCGGATAAAAACGTATCGTCTCGGTGTCTCGGTTCTTGGCACTACACAATAGCAATACAAGCATAAGGAATACAATACGCTACAATACAATACCATAGCAAGACAAGCAATACAACAGCATATAATCAAGCAACGCCAGAGCCAATAAATAGCAAAAATCAAGCAAAATGAAGTCAAGTCTGAACAAGGTTTTCGCCTTCGCCTACCCATCAGATCAAGCAACAAAACAACCAACAAATAGCAAAAATAATGCAAAATGAAGCCCAGTCCAAACCAGGTTTTCGCCTTAACCAACGCATCAGAGCATCAGATCAAGCAAGACAATAGCAAAAAAAACCAAAAATCAAGCAAAGTCCAACCCAAGTCCGCACCAGGTTTTCGCCTTTCCCTACGCAACACAATAGCAATTAAATAGCAAAAATCAAGCAAAGTCAACCCAAGTCCGCACGAGGTTTTCGCCTAATCCTACGCATCAGATCATGCAAAGTCAAGCCACACAATAGCAAAAAAATAGCAAAAATCACGCAAAATCAAGCCCAGTCCAACCGAGGTTTTCGCCTCAGATCAAGCAAAATCAAGCAAAAATCAAGCAAAGTGAAGCCCAGTCCTGACGAGGTTTTCGCCCAAACCTACGCCTCAGATCAAGGAAAATCAAGCAAGATGATAGCAACAAAAATAGCAAAAATCAAGCAAAGTCAAGCAAAGTCTGAACGAGGTTTTCGCCTCAGCCTATGCATCAGATCAAGCAAAAATCAAGCAAAATCGAAACAAGGTTTTGACCTTGACCCACGCATCAGCCCAGACAAGGATAAGGATAAGCAAAACAATAGTCAAGACTACAACAACAACAAACAGCAAAAGATGAGGATAAGAAACACCACACCACAGACTACGACAACCAAGCAACCAGGTCAAGTCAAGGATAAGAAACGCCATACCATAGGATACGATAAGATACGATACGATAGTCAAGTCAAGGATAACAAACACGATAGACTGCCATACAATACCACACGATAATGATACAATACAAGAACAATACAATACAATACAAGAAAAATGCAATACAATACAACAACTCATTCTAAGGGCACATTTGTAACCTGGTATTGGTTACACCCAGGTTATGGCTAGCCAAAAGAGCACAATCTGGGCATTTCTGAACATGTCAAAAATGCGCAGAACAGGGGAGGTCAGATCTGGGCATTTCTGAACATGTCAAAAATGTGCGCAGAACAGGGGAGGTCAGATCTGGGCATTTCTCAATGTGTCAAAAATGCCCAGAACAGGGGGGGGTCGGATCTGGGCATTTCTCAACATGTCAAAAATGCGCAGAACAGGGGAGGTCAGATCTGGGCATTTCTCAACATGTCAAAAATGCCCAGAACAGGGGGGGGTCAGATCTGGGCATTTCTCAACAGTCAAAATGCCCAGAACAGGGGGGGTCAGATCTGGGCATTTCTCAACATGTCAAAAATGCCCAGAACAGGGGAGGTTGAATCTGGGCATTATGAAAGCAATTCAACCGTGGGAACTACTCCGATAAAAATGCAAAAATCAAGCAAAGTCAAGCAAAGTCTGAACGAGGATTCGACCCGGGCCATAAGGATAAGGATAAGGAATACGATAGTCAAGACTACGATAGCAAAAAATCAAGAAAACAAGCAAAAGACAAGGATAAGGATCACGACGGTCAAGACTACGATACGATAAGCAAGTCAAGGATAAGAAACGCGATAGTCAAGACTACGATACGATAAGCAAGTCAAGGATAAGAAACACGATACCAT